ATAAGTTTGTATCAAACAAAGATCAACAGTTAGTGAAATATTGGTCTCAAATGATTTCTCTCTAATAAAACATAATAGACAAAGAGAAAGAAAAAGAGTATTTTCCATTGTTCAATTAAAGCAATAACATTTAATATTTGTATTTATTTCGATGCCATTACCATCTCCATTTCATTTTCTTTTTCTTTTTTTCTTCTCTATTGTGATATGAATAATATGTTGATCAATTATAAATGACATGCATTTTATATGTAAATCGCTTTTTACTTAAATTAAACACCCTATAGGCATTATGTTCTCGTCCTCATACTATCGTTAGTATTTATTTAAATAAAATGACTGAAATATAGTTGTATTTTTTGTTGGGACGATCGTATTCCAACATTTGTTTTAAATCGAAAACATGTAAGTAAAACAACTCACTTTCTTGTCTAAGAGAATTCGTATATCAAAACAAAGTTTAAATGGGTACTTAAACCGGCACACGTTTTACAATAAGATTGATCGATCCATACGTGTAATTATTTTAATTATCACTATTTTTTAATATTTATATTAAAGTTGATGTAAAATATGGTAATAAAGAAATAATTTTGTTGAATGGTTCATGTACAATAAAAATTTAGCTTCTTATGTTACAGTATTAAATCAAACGCTAAACGCTTCTTATAATCTTCCTGTCGATTTGTATGTTGCTATTGTCCTTCGTAGTTTATACTGTCGCAGAAGAACAATGAATATGCGAATATCTAACTTGTGCGAGAGCAATTTTAGTGAAGATTACTATCATCGGAAATTGTACAATAATGTAAGCTACAACTAACTAGATAGAATCGTTAACGAAAAAAATATGAGAGTCATTACACTTTATGATATTGATTTGATATTGGTTTTATATATTTGCCACCGTCAGATTGATAACAAATGGGAAACTGATGATGTGCTACCAACTATCCATAGATAATTACCTATAAGAACAATTCGTTTTTTGTTTAATGACCGCGAACGTAATCCGTTGTTCGAGTTAACATAATAAAGAAAGCACACGAATTAGACGATCTAGATGAAACACCATCCGGATGTTTGTTGCACAAAAATCGCCACACTTTATGTCGAATGATTGATACTACTGTAATTCGTAACTTATGGAAAAGAGGCGCATTGGGCAACTTTTGCTAAATTTTTCGTGTTATATATCATTCCAGACAGTTTGAGAAGTTTATTTCGATTATCATACTGATTTCATTATAAACGTTTTAATTGAAACAAATTGCTTTTACACTAGAAACTAAGATTTTAGAAAACTTAGTAAGGCTTCGAACAAAGTTTGAGCTAGTTTTAGGCTTCGTATAACTTTGCATACTATTACACTGAAAAGTTGATTTTTCGGACAACCCACTAGCGTGCAAAAAGAATTATTTTCTCCTTAAATATCAAACTCAAAGTGAATTATGAACTGTTAGTTTATTGCACAATTGTATCTGATCGGAAACAGTTTTTGATAAAATTTGAGCGAACAACAGTATAGTAGTGATACATTATAATAGCGAAGTTCATCAGATACGATCGTGCAATAAACTAACAATTCATTTTTAGCTAAATAGCAGTCAAAACACACAAGATAGTTTTTTCAAATCGTTTTCAAAGCGAATATATACCTCTGAATAAAAATATTTTTTGTTATACTACTGGGCGTGGCCGGCTAATTCTGTTACCGCAAGGGAATTCTATGATATTGTTTCTTCATTTTGTTGTGTTGATATATAACAAACCGAACCATGTAGAGAGTCGGAAAACGTCTTAAATCAAAGAGAAAAGTCTTGTGAACATTTTAAGATGTCTCGAGACTCTGCATAGTTCAGCTTGGTGTATATCAACACAGCAAAATGAAGAATAAACATTACGGAATTCCTTGTGGTAGCCGGCCACGCCGTACTGATATTATATTAACCATATTTGCAACATGAGTTTTCTCATCACAGGCCGACAGAAACATTCAACGAAGGAGTGTGGTGAGCTCTCAGAAATCCTGGACATCTTTATTCAATGGTTCGAAAGTTTTTATGAAATCTCGCAATCTACCAGAAATCTGGAACTTAAAGATCTTGAGCATTAATACTCATTGTGACAGGAAGGTTAATGGCTGCTAAAGAATGAATAAAGTTCTGTATCCTTGTTTATTTGCCTACATTTTGCTGTAATTTCTGTTTTCTATTCGAGAACATTGATTTCGTACCAATGAGGTACTTTCAAAATCTATTTGACTTCAATTACTTCCACAATAGTTGTAGTTTTTTAATATACACATTTTAATAAAATCCCTGTTGTTGAACCCATTTGTCAAAGTCTTATTCTGATTGAAGAAATGGAAAGTATAGGAACATATCTGTTCTTTGCACACATCACATCTTCTCAATTGCTATGTGTTTCGTATAATAATCTGATATTATCGTTCAAAAATATAACAATATGTCTATCTCTCGTTAATTCACTCAATTGAGTAGCCTAGTTATGCGTTCAGTTTAACGTCGTTCTTTGACATTGAAGATGAATTTAAGACGACGTTATAGAATGTTAAACCAAAAAGAAAAGAATCTGAAATTCAATTTTCATTAATAAAAGAATGAAATATCTAGTGTGCAGAGTATGTCATAAGACATATCGTCTCTCCTCCTATATTGAAGAGTACTGAAATAATTCCTTATTTGTGTCTCTAACGTCATAACGGAGAGAGCATCAATCACCGTTTATCTAAAATGCTTCATATGATATGCACAAAGAACAGTATAACTACATTCATTCAGATTATTTTTTCCATTTTCTAAATAAAATCATATTCTCGACACTTCATAGTAAATCAAGTTTATTATACTGAAGTTTCCCTTAGAAAATTGAGCATTCCTGTTCTTATGTCTACAAATAATGCCGATGTGTTCAACAGCATTCAAATATATAGTCCGAAACGGTTACGTCTCAAAAGAGATACTTTTTTTTTGCAAACTCACACTCAGTTTTTAATGTCTCCTCTGATGTTGTCTTAAAGCCAGTTATGATGGATTTGTATCTCTTTTGAGAACTTTTGTCCAAAACGGCATAGACTAATATACAAAACGACGCACAGAATGACTGATTTCTAATGAAGAAGACAATTTAAAATATTACGCAAAAATTCCTCTGTTTGTGCAGTAACTGAAGAAAATATTTCTATTTATTTTTAGTGGAAATATTTTTGTTTTTTCTCACACCATCGTTGACAGAATATGACAACAACGACAGAAATATCATCGATATCAAACGTATAAGATATTTTTTGTATTTTTCTTTCTTTCGATTTGTGTGTTGGTGTAGTACTAAATACCATGGGAATTGAAATTGTCAAATTATAGTGAAAAGTAATTCGGTTAAAATTCATGGCATGTCAAAATTTTTATCTTTTCACTGAATAATTACTCAACTTTAGTGTCATTAAGTAAAATGACAATGTTTACATATTAAATGAGATAGTTTTGTTAAAATAACACTTATTATAAGAAAAGAATTTGTGTAAAGTGTTAATGGATATGCTTATACCACTTGGTTCAACCACATGCATATAAAACGAAAAAAGTAGACCACATGTTTCGTGTGATCAAAAATAGAGAAGACAAAAACGGTTGTATTTAGGTAAAGTAGTAGGATTCAGTAGATAAAAGAAGTGAACAGTTTCCGTATACGACATTTAATTGAAGCGGACATCAATTAACATCTACGTGATCATCCGTTCCATCGTTGCATATAGCTAACGAAAATAGAACTGTTATTCTATGAAAATACTAAGAAGATATTCTTTAGAACAGACTATTCATACATTTCATTTGCGTGAGCTCCAATTGTTGAAATAAGAACTCGATGATACATTATCTCATACTGGGTTATCTATAATCACTAGTATTGTGTATGTTTATCTTTATATTTGGCTCAAATTATTTCATTTTTACCTAGAATTTTTGAAATATGATTACTTCTACTAAAATAGAATAAGAACAAAAGACAAACGGAAAAATGACGAGCATACACAAGTAGAATTAATAAACCAAACATATATGTCACTCATGTTATGCACGTCTTATTGTGTGTGGCATATTTCTTTTGTTAAAACGCATGTTCTCTTTGAATAATGAAAAAAAACAGAAAATTTCAGATGGATAAAAATGTCTTACTATGAGACAAGTGTGATGTACATCAAACTTCTACTCTAGTTGTTGAATTGACATTTACGGTACAGTCAGTAATGTTAAACTTTAAGTTTAAAAAAAAAATGATTATAATGCTTTACGTCAATGGAAATCTTAAGTTGAATTGAATAACAGATTATACTGAACATCCGTTATCTTTTTATGCTTTTATTTTTGGGATAATCTAGTTTATTCCTTTGAGATTTTTTTTTACAATCCTAAAGAAAAGTGATTGTGAACATTGATGACAATGAGATTTAAAAAAAACAAAAAAAACGTTTGTCGTTAATGTCAATCAATCTATTTTATTTTTGTCTCTCTCTCTCTCTTTCTCTCTCGCACTCGTTTCCATTCATTTTTAAGAAGAAAAAAAGAATTAATAGGCGTGTGATATTTCAAAATAAATTTTAAATAATTTCTAGTTTTTATTTTCTCTTCTCTATAGGTGTCATTGTCAATTTTAGTTAGAGAATTATTGAATAAGATCTTTTTTGTTTAGTTATGTCAAATTAAGTTGATTTATTTGTAATGCACACAAGACAAACTTTATTTTAGTGAAGAAGAGTTCATTATATTGTTCTCTGATGAATAGCAAAATAAAAAAAAAAGCTTTAAAGGAATAAAGAAAAAAAAGACAGAAAAAGGATTTCTATTTTTGCCAAGTGTGTGTTAACGAAGATGTTTCGTTAGAATAAAAAACATAGAAAAAAAAAGAAAAAAATTAAAGAATATATGCTTTGTATATGGATCATATCACAATTGTCACATTAGATACTGAAAAAATAGATGGCTAGATATTTAAAAACGTACCGTAGTTATCTGAGGTAAGTATAAGACATTATACGTAATCATATGTAAAATAAAAGATCTCCATTTTGAAATATCTTTTTATCAAAAAGTAACTTACTCAAACTATTTTACACAAAACTATTCAAAAAAAAATAATCAATCAATGTTCTTCTTCTCTTATTTTATAGGTTTGATGCCTATGCATTAATTCGTCACTATTGTGGTTTTGGACGAAATGATGATGATTTTGTCGATCGTTTGTCTCGTCATTATAGTGTATTAATATTTTCAATGTTTATTATCATTGTCTCATCGGTACAATTTGTTGGTAAACCAATTTCATGTTGGACACCGGCATCATTTACCGATTCTCATATAAGTTATGCCGATTTTATTTGTTGGATTTCTAGTACATATTATGTATCAACTGAATCTGAAATACCTTATCCAGATGAACATCGTGAACATTCTATTATATTTTATCAATATATTCCATTTTTACTTATGTTACAAGCATTTGGTTTTTTCTTTCCTGGGTTTTTATGGCGATCATTATCTAAAAAAATTGGATTTTCAATTCAAAAATATATTGATAATTTAAATTTAAGTCGTACACTATTAATTGAACCACCAAGTTTTCGTCAACAATTTGTACATAATGTTGCCATTCGTCTTGATCAATATTTTCGTTTAAAACATGGAAAAAAGAAGATGAAAACTGTCTTTTTATCACAATTTCCTAAATTAACAATTTTATATTTGTCTATAAAACTTATTTATTTATGTAATATTCTTTTTCAATTATTTACATTGCATTATTTAATGAAATTTCGTTTATCATTATCATCACTCGTTCAACAATTATTTATTCATAGTACTAATTATCATCATGATTCACATCAATTTCCTACAAATGTTTTATGTGATTTTATTGTTCGATTTCTTGGTAAAAATACTCATCGTCACACTGTTCAATGTGTATTACCTGTAAATGTTTTCAATGAGAAAATATTCACATTTTCCTATTTATGGTTAATAATAATGATGTTATTTTCAATTTATAATCTCATGTTTCAATGGCCATTTTATTTGATTAATAAATATGATTTTATCAACGATTATTTGATTGCTCAAAATAAAAAAAAGACAAATAAATTTAAAAAATTAACATCTGATTTCACATCATCATCGTTAATAAATAGTAACAACAGTCGCGATTTAAGTGAACAGAAAAATGAACAAATATTGATGAAAAATTTTAATGAACACTATTTGAAAACAGATGGTATTGTTTTATTAAGACTAATAAAGATTAATACCGATATTGTGACGACATATAACCTCCTTGATGATATTTGGGATTTATACAGAATACAACCCATTTGACATAAATATAACTTACATTCTTACAAAATTAAATGAATTCTTTATTGTACACTTTACAATCAACAACGACAATATAGTTGAAAGAATATACGATAGATTTATGTTATTTAAAGTCGTATGAGTAGTTTGTGGTATATCGTATAATATGATCGATTTATAAATATTTCAAAATAGATTTTGGATAAAAGAAACTTAAGTGACAATTATCGAACATTTTTACAATGGTCTTGGATCTAACGTTTCGTCTTGACGAGTAAAACATTGCTCATCGTTCGCTACAATTTTTAAGAAATTGATTAGTTCTCGTAGAATAAATTCTTTAATACATATCAGTAAAAATCGAAACAAACCTTTTAAAAGAATAGCTAAGCCATACTGTGCGTATTGGTTTATCTTTGTTATCGAGCGTGATAAAACTCCAGCTCACTTACTAAACCATCGTTTTCCGACAAATGTTCTTCGAAGTGTGTAAAATTTGGATAACTTATTTGAACATAAACATTTATTGTCCCTATGTAATAAGGTTGACAAGTTAGATGAAAAAAAGAGATAAACAGCACAAAAAACAGAAAAAAGATACACTCAATTGAAGAGAGGATTTCTGACATCAGTTTGATAGTGATAGCGAGAAACAACAAATAAGAAATGAAAAAAAATATATATACATAAATAAATAAATAAAACAATTAAACACATGCGTAGATTTAAATATTTTTATTACAGCAAGGAACAATTATCTTTTGACATAAGAGCAAATAACACAAAAGCATAGTGAAATCCGTATTAGACACATCAAAACTAAGACCTAGACCTATAGAAATATATGTTTATGGAGGTTGTAGAAAAACTTTATATATAAACATGTGAATATAAGGAGAATATTTGTAGCACTCATATTGTGGAGTATGATTAGAAAGAAACTCAATGATATCCAATTTGGTGTGTTTAGCTCTACTTGTAAGTCTACTCATAAATTTATTTTTCCTACAAAACAATGCAGAATGGCACCAACTCATTTGGGGATTATACGCCGCCAAAAATGCTGCCTACGTTAACTGATATTGCGTCGCTTCGTGTGCTGTCTCTAAGTATTTACTGTACTTAATCCAATAACGATATAAAACTCTTGGGATAAAATTATAGTAGTAACACCATCTCAGCTACATAGATTATAAACAACTCTTAGACCTGAGTAGAATACGTGTTCGATATATTTCTGCTGAATATTGGTAAAAAAACCATATTGAAAATAAAAAAATAAAGTGTGGCAGCGCGTAAGCTAAAATTAGTATACAACGTAAGATGCACGGAAAGCAGACTTCGAGTGAAATTTATTTTTCGACGTTTTACACACCATTCGATAGAGAATTGTGCGCTGATCACGAACATTTGCGCCTCGCCTTTTCTGGAGACCGTTTACCGGTCCAAAAATTCAAAAAACTCGGAAGTTGTCAAAAATCCCAAAACCGTAAGGTTTCAAAAATATGGCCATAGCGTTTTCGCGTTTTGATTTGAACACTTGAAAAAACGTTTTTCAGATTCAGGATTGAAAATTGAATCTGAACAGGTATCTTTCACAGCTTCAGACCGAAAACTAAATTTTCGCAAGGGACTGAAACCGGAACATCCCAAAAACGCAACGCAGACTTCACAGGCCTAATTCAGGATTTGCTAGAGGCACTAGAACAAAAAGTTTTGCATGGTTAGATTCGCCAGATGCTCCTCTTCGACACAACCAACAGTTTTTTTTAAATTTGGTTTCCTCGCTGACAAAAATTCATTTTTTCTAAATCAGAAATGAAAAAGTCGAAATTCTCAATTTTCTCCAACAGAACTCAACTTCTATGGCACAAAAGATATCATATTTGGAATCAGGATCAAAAGACAAATCAACTGCTATATATTTCGAAGTTTTTAGTTCATTTTTATTTTTTGGTGAAAATCTCGTGATTTTTCAACGTAAAACTTCGAAAAAAAATTGAAGTACTCTGACAGGATAGAGATATATATCACTCGACTCATCTTTTGATACTGATTCCAAATATGATATCTTTATTCCATAGAAGTTGAGTACTGTTGGAGAAAATTGAGCATTCCGAGAAGAATTCCGACTTTTTCACTTCTGATTTAGAAAAAATGAATTTTTGTCAGCGAGGAAACCAAATTTAAAAAAAACTGTTTGTTGTGTCGAAGAGGAGCATCTGGCGAATCTAACCATGCAAAACTTTTTGTTCTAGTGCCTCTAGCAAATCCTGAATTAGGCCTATGAAGTCTGCGTTGCGTTTTTGGGATGTTCCGGTTCCAGTCCCTTCCGAAAATTTAGTTTTCGGTCTGGAGCTATGAAAGATACCCGTCTAGATTCAGTTTTCAATGCTGAATCTAAAAATAAAAAGATCAGAAGTCCATCTCATAATCAGCAAAAACTGGAGCGCTTTTTCTAAAATCTCAGAATTTTTTGGTTTTTGAGACCTTGCACGTTTTTTAAATTTTTGGACCAGCTGCCTCCAAAAGAATCAAGGGTCATTCGTGATCAGCGCGAAATTCTCTATCCGATGGTGTGTAAAAGAATCAGAAAAAAATTTCACTTGATCTTTGCTTTCCGTGCATGTTATATTTATAAACATTACTGGAATATCACGGAAAATTATTCTTAACGCATTATATATTTCTTATTAAACGTATACGGATAGCAATAAAAATCCCCCATCCGAGTTTGGTTGTTATATATATTCCTAGATATTTAAAAACTTTGACATACTCAATCTGTATACCACGGTATTAAATAATCGGCAGCATATCTTTTGGTTTTTGAACGTTTACTGGTAAAATATGTTCCTCAGAATATTTCGCTAGGATTTCCATCGCGATTTCTACTCTTTTTTCGATCTCTATAACATTCTGTGAAAATCTTTTTTCTAATGCTCCTGATATAACAATTGCCGCAAAAAGATGATACACTAGATTCATAAAAAGAGAAGAAAGATGGATATGAAGATGGAAGAGAGTAGCTGCTAATACCGATCCTTGTGGTGCACCGATAAAAATATCTGTAACACGAGAGATAGCTTACTCGAAATAGACTGACATTGTTCTTTCCTGCAAAAGTGAGGGAATTCTCGTCTGTACTCTCCTTTCTGGAGTAGATCCGGATCAGACATGTGCAGTAGCAGTAAAAACGTGTGACCGTTACAGACGCTTCGGTAACAACTTCAAATTTTTACGGTGGTAATTTGAAACCGATAAAAAATCTCAACATTTTACCGCGGTAAACTTCGGTAAAAAGCTTTTTTACCGTTACTGACGGTAATTTACCGATGACTACAGAGTTGTTAATAATATATGAATTAAAATCAATTTTCCAAAAAAAAATTGGTAAAAGTAATTTTATTACCGTTGCCGGCTTACGGTAAATACTTAAAAATTTTACCACGGTAAAAAAATGCTTTACCGTTACCGCTCATGCCTAATTCGGATTGTTCGTCCACATGGACCCCTTTCTTTGTATACCATTTCTGTAATCTACCGTGTACTACACGTTCATACCATTTTCCGAAATTTGATAACATTGAGATAGGTCGCAGCCTATCCACTTTAGGGATCAATCCATCCTTCGACAGACAGATGACCTTGCCATGTTTACTTGATTTTCGAACTAATCCTGACTGAGCAACCTTGTTGAATCCTACAGTTATAATTTTTAAATACTCTACCGGAAGTTGTTTTAATATAAAAGCGGATGCACCCTCGTAATCAAATGATTTCTTTTTTCGTATCTTTAACCATGTTTCTTCCACCTCTTCCATAGTAATCTTTTCTAATGGAATATTAGGTGTATATGAAACGCTTTTGTAAACTTAAAGCGCTTCCACATGAACCGATATTCTTGGGTCATGTACTGGAGCCTCGAAGTGTTTTTCATAAAAGTTAGCTAGTGTGTCCGCAATGATTTGATGATCTTTTAACACACCATTATCTACCGTAAGTCCTCGGAACGGTATTGACTATGGATGAAACGTGGGGCGAACGTACTTCCAGATATTACTCCCTTGAGAGATATAAAACAAAGTATTTTCAGACCGTTTTTGTTGATACAAACACCTCTCATTAAAGTAGATATTCTTCCAATATATGTAGTCATCGAGGTGCATCTGCAGACGTGTTTTTCTGTATTTTTTTCTTACACTATTATATGTTTTTGCAAGTTTGATAAGTTGTAACGGCCACAGCGCACGATATTTTTTAACCGGAATGAACTCGCTAACCCTATTTGACAATGAAGAAAGAAAAGATGTGAAAAGAGAAAAATATGTATCTGCTTCTCGTAGAATAAATTCTTTAATGCATATCAGTAAAAATCGAAACAAACCTTTAAAAGAATAGAAGCCATACTGTGCGTATTGGTTTATTTTTGTTATTGTGCGTGATAAAACTTCAGCTTACTTACTAAACCATCGTTTTCCGACAAATGTTCTTCGAAGTGTGTAAGATTTGGACAAGTTATTTATAATGAATGAGAAAGTTAAGGAGAAAAAAAGTTAATGAGAAAGTTAAGGAGAAAAATTACACGAAGAAACGGACCAACTTTCTAAGTTATTTTGATTTACAAACTTTCGAGTATTTTAAACAACTCTAAAGACAACAAAGCAGAAGCGAAAATATTTTTGACTACTTTCAGGTGCGCTCTTTCTCTTTATGCAATTCGAAGTTCGTTCGAATCAAAATGATTGCAAAATCTAACATTCCAAAATTTATTTCAAAATTACCAGAATCTGCTTTTTTTCGCCAGCTGAATTTAAGAAGAAAACTTTAAGGTAAACTTTCGCTGCTGAATCTGGTACAGGAGTTATTTTTCGTCAAAATTGAAAAAACCCAAGCTCAAAAGATGCGCTATTTTGGCTTTGTTATGCGATGTTTTCCAGGAGCTCCGAAACTGCAGAATCAAATAGTAGAATTTTCGAAAATCTCAAAGAAGAGAAAATCGATGCAAATCTCAAAGATTGATTTAGCATTTGTTCACCTAATACTAGTTGATAAAGCTAAAGATCTAATCCAATGAGGTAAGTCTCATTGGAAAGGGATTTATCACCGGAAAACGTTCCCTAGCGAGCTTCCAACAATTGTTCAGAAACGTCTGAACAAGACGGAGAGTCATCGTGCGATTCATTGGATTGAATCACTCAACGAGCGAAAAGTTAGACGTGTCAGTGTCTAAAATCGGTCATCCGTAGACGCGGCAGCGTCTAATTTCGATACATGTCGATCAGTCATGCACTGAACTGACGCACCTTTTTAGACAGTTGAACCGTGTTCTTTTTTTGTAGTGATCGACTTCGATGACTCGAACAGCAGGAAACCAATCTCAGTTTGATGTAGTCTTGAATGCCACTCATCAAGATATAATCTCGAGAAACTTCTCGTTAATTTCACAAATTAATTTTTTGTCTTACTCACGAGGGAACATCTACAAGTGATAATCTCAGATTTCAATAATCTTCACTGATAGATAGAGGGTAATGTCCTAAAAGAGTTTCTCTCCATATTGCTTCTTTCAAAAGTTATGAATTTTTTTTCTTTGCCTGCATCATATATCATACAAAAAAACTATCATACCAACTAAAAAGTTCGTAACTTTGCAATAATAGCGAGTTGAGATCTTAAACTTTTTGCTATACTATTGTGGGAAGATATTATCTCAGAAGCAGCCTTGGACCGTCGTGTGTTGTTGACACGATAGAACAGAACGAATTTACCTGCGCGGTTACACTACAACCAAAATGCATGACTGTTCTTGATATTTCTGACTGTTCATGCAATGTACCTTCGTTTTACGAGTATGTCTTTTACAGTCGCGGTATTTGAAAAGAAAGACAGTAGTAACTAAGTTAAATGAACACACTCAATTGCAGAAATTTCATGATAATTGAACATCCAGTGTATACATTGGGAACGAATGAAAAAAATTTACGAACTATGAAGATAATTGCTAGATCGATGTTCATATTATTATCATTTCAGAAAGTAAATTTAAAACAACATTCTGATTTGCGAGCAGTACAAAATCGACAATTGAAACTTGTTTTGCAAATAAAATTTTCGAAGATTTGCAAATTCTCTTATCTTTGTCAACATTACAATGAAGCGAGCAAGATGATAATATCAATCTGATAAGAAATGTTTGTAAAAGGTAGCTTTCAAAAGCGAAGCAGATCATAAGCAACATTTCAATTGTAAGCATTTGCGAGGTCCCATTGCATTTGTTCCACAGGATTTCATGTGTGAAGTGGAATATCTGATAGAAAATTCCGAAAAAAGATCAAATCGAAATCTGGATGAGTAACAGCATAATTCATTTGAAATAAAAAAGAGCAGAGTTATTTATTTTTCGAAAATTGCTGTTGAGGACCTCAGAAACGGGACTCATTCATTTCAGAGGGTTTTTTTGTAGGGAATATCGAAACCTAAAGGACTTCTACGCCCATCGCTTTATACTCTTAGGGGCAAAATTAAGTATATTCAGCAATGTACATTTTAGAAAAAAGATTCAAATTTTATTTTAAATTCTAGGAAACAGGCTACAATGCTGGGAATCTTCTTTGGACTGTTGTGTTTGCTTGGTGTTGAATCCTTGCACTTTGCACACAACACCAGTCAACCCATCGACGTTCGTATTGAGTATTGGTTGCTAGAACAATATTATGATGTCGTCATTGACACACATACACCCATCATCTCATGGAATTTACCAACCTTTTTAAACAATCATCATCATCATCAACGGGATATTCAACAAGTAGCTTATCAAGTTCAACTATATAAACGACCTGCACATGATACAACAACATCAATCTTATTATGGGATACTCAACCTACAGAATCCTCGTCCACTACATTGCAATATAATGGTCCCATGTTTGGTGTAGATAGCCGTTACGAATTGCGCGTGAGATATTGGTCCACTCACGGAGTGAAAAGTGATTGGTTCATTGCAACCTTCCGTACAGCATTTTTCCACTTATTGAACGCGGGAGATGCTCCGCAATGGATTGGTAGTGATATCATTAACATGAATCAATTACGCAAAACATTCAATATCGACTTATCATCATCTTCAGCGATCAGTTCAGCCTCTGTCGTCATTAGTGGCATTGGCTATTACGAACTGCATATTAATGGGTACCCAGTCGATTTGTCTCGCAAGCTGGATGTTGGATGGACCACTTATCAACAGCGTACATTATACGTGTCGTATGATGTGACTGATTTCTTGACTGGCGGTGCCAATGCTATTGGAGTCTATTTAGGACAAGGCTGGTATAATCAGCAGCAATGGATAATTGGCCCTGGCGCAAGGACCGAGCTTAGTACACAATATGGATCACCTCGATTCATTTTCCGCTTAGTAATATACCTGAGTGACAGTTCTATCATCACCATCAACAGCAATGAGACATGGTTGGGACGTGAAGCGGAACATCGAGCGGACAACCTCTATATGGGTACTATCGTGGATTATCGTGCTGCACGACCTACATTTTCTACTGCGACATTTGTCGATAAGACATCGTTATGGATCAATGCTTCGATTCTATCGTCTCCCGTACAGAATGGTACTCTAAGTTTACAACGAATGCCTCCGATACGTGCTGGATTCGATGCATTAGATATTCCTGATCTCAGCAGCACCGATGATATTACAACTAGTATAGTCGAGAGATATTTATGTGGTGCGGATCTAGCCAAATTCAATGGTGTATTAACACCGATTGGAACGGATTATTCCAATGGAAAGATTTTTGATTTAGGCCAGAACTTTGCTGGTTGGTGTCGACTGTCTGGCATCAATGTTCCACGTGGTTATATCGTACAATTACGTCATTCTGAATATCGTTATTCATCAGGTATTAATGGCATTCCATTTAATGGTATCGATACCGAGAATCTCGAGTCTATTGCCGCGACTGATACATTCATCTTACAGGGTTCAGGAAATGAAACCATTGAACCTATGTTTACTTATCATGGCTTTCGCTATCTCTTAGTCAATGGATTAGACAACATTGATAGTTCACAAGTAACATGTTATCCTGTTCATACACAAACAAGTTTGATCGGGAACTTTTCGTCCTCTTCTGTCGTGTTAAATCAAATTCAACACAATATCTTATGGTCACAATTGAGTAACACCATGTCATTGCCTACTGATTGTCCTCAGCGAAATGAAAGACGAGGTTGGATGGGTGATGCCGCTCTCTCTGTGGATGAAGCCTTATTCAATTTTGACTTAATCCAATTTTATTTGAATTTCTTAACCATGATCCAAGATAATCAAGCTGCAGATGGAGCCATTTCTGATACGGTACCATTTACTGTGGGATTCGCACCTGCGGACCCCAATTGGGGCACTGCTTATATCACAATTACATGGGCACTGTATGAACACACGGGTGATATCACTATTCTAGAACAATATTACACGAGTATCCGAGCCTGGATCGATTGTTTAACACGACAATACCAACAAACAGGCTTGGCACATTACTTCTCGCATTGGGGCGATTGGGAACCCGCTGCACGTATGACTAATACTTCCTTGATCTCCTCATTTGCCTATTTGCACGATGTTCATCGATTCATCAACATATCTGCCGTGTTGAACCAAACAGATAACGTGAAGAATTATACAGAGTTGTACAATACATTGGCCAAAGAGTTTCACAATGTCTTTTATGATGGAACACTGGGAGGATATGCGGATAATAGCCAAGCTGCTAATGTTTTAGCTTTGGCATTACCCAATGTCGTACCTGATCCGATAGAAACTTTTGTGTGGGAGGCATTATTGAATAATATTAAAAGTCAGAATCAGCATTTCACAGGTGGAATTGTTAGCGTGGCTCAGTTATATCCCTTATTATCTACAAATGGTCATCATGATTTAGCAGTACAATTAGCCAGTTCCACCACTTATCCATCCTATGGTCATATGTTCAATAATCCAATTCAAAATGCTACAACGACTTGGGAAGCATGGAATACATTACCTGATCAAGCCGGCTCCTCACTCAACCATCACATGTTCAATAGTATTGGCAGTTGGTTTTATCGTTATCTCGTAGGATTGCAATTATCATTGGCCGACCATCAGGTACATATCCATCCTCGCATGACTTATGATGAAACATTGTTAACAACTGTGTCAGCCACGGTCAAGACGCAAAAAGGTTTAGTGAGAGTTGCTTGGACAAGAGCTGTCAATGATATAGAACAATTATCCATATCATCACCGTTTCTACGGATCGTGAAGATGACTGTCACCATACCAACTAATCTGGAAGGCATCATCTCATTTGATCCTTTACTAAAATCTGGTCAATGCCATTCCTTTTATGTTGATCACCAGTTACTATGGAAACGTTCGTCTCTGTATCCTCGTCAACGTCTTCGCGCTAGTTCGGTGAATGATTTATCATTGATAAATGTTGTCAGTGGTGTGAAGCGACTGGCAGAAGATACAGACAGTGGCACGATGACTCTGCGGGTGTCATCTGGACAGTATCAGTTTCATGCAGTGTGGGAAGAAAAATTTTTGTAGGAAGTGAGTTTTAAAATAAATTCTTCGGATAAAAGTTCAAAGAAAATTTTGGCTGTTAAAGACGTAATATCGAATCATCGCTATGATTAAAAAAAACTGGCATTATATGCTTGTTCTTATTTCTAAATGTGTTTTTGTCAGTCAAGACGATCTCTAGATTAAAAGAATCCTAAAATGATTCGAGCCAAATGACGTGATTTGACCGAGATATCGAATTATTACTTGACTTAGATTTTTCTACAATCTATTCTGAACAGGGGCCCACGTTTTAGGTCAAAATCGAAAGTTTGATTGAGCTGGAAAATTGGAGGGCTGCAGGGAAAATCCAGCAATAATTCGACATCTCTGCCAAATCACAACATTGGCTCGAATCCTTTTAGGATTGTGCCAGTAGTATGACCTCAAAAGCGGTGAATCACTTCAGTCGTCATTTTTAGTTCGTTCATTTTGGATTATATCTCTTATGCCCTAAAGACTTTATATCCCTCAGATCCCTTTGAACATAAACAGCTGAGCTGCTTTATGAATGAATATGGAATTCAATTTTTGTATTATGTTTTTCTAAATGTTCGTACATCGTATTTTCTTTTGGCACACTACATACACTGTGTCAATAGTCATTCGGCCGCTTCAGATGAAACGAGAAGTTGCTTACAGAACATCTGAATAGGGTGGGACCGAAATTACGCCATTTGACCAAGTATGGCACTGAGAGAACTTCCATCGATAGATCTCTGTGATCAGAATAAGGTGTGGAGGAAAAGTATGAAATTTGAGTACAACTTGGAATTGATAGTGAAGTGAGAAGCAATAGCCACTAAATGTTTTCCGTCGGTGACTACCATGAATAGACCTGTAACACACTCTGCGATAAAATCGTTCAAGCTCAGTTCATCTCAAAAGAACTGTTCGAAAACCAGTTCTTGAAAGATCACCTTCTGTCAACAGTTCCAGAGGCAGGAAACTAATCTTTCTTCTATTTTTCACGCTTCTGTCGATAGATCCTAGCTTATAAAATAAGCAATATAACAGGTTCATTCAAATTAGTGATAGTTTGAATTAGTAATGAAAGACACAAAAAAATAAATAATTAAAAAATATATAACTTAATATTAACATTAGATTTCTCTTTCTCTATCTCTATAAAAAAATATTTGAAGCTTTTATAATATGAATCTTGAAAAGGAGTCATCGAGAAATATTTAAGACACCATGGTAATGCCAAAAGAAAGCTCTATATCAATAAGTCAGAAAAAAAATCAGGCCAAAATCAGAAAAGTTTTCGCATGAACATATGTTGATCAGAAGTGAATCTAGTGGTAACGTCGAGCAATGACAAAAATCAAGCTCGTTCTATGCTCGATCAGTGTTTTCGAAATGATCGAATTGAAAATCAAGATCACGGAGTCATCTTTTTTCTGCATTTCTTTCCACTTGTTCTTTGTTTTAGATCAGTTCAGCTGATTTCTTGGCAATCACACGTTTTACGAACAGGTTGGCGAACAAGACATTTTGTTCAAGGTAAAGAATCGTTTGTTCATGCCACTCAAATATAATATTCCTTGTTTTTGCAGTATGGCATCACTGGTCCTCAGTCAGAAATGGGTGTATTGATTTCTACCGTCGCGACGGCGATCAGTGGATTTTGATCGAGCTTCCATCTTTATCCACAACTTCCGTACAGAGCGCCTATTTCCATCGACAGTGATCTTGATAAGGCAATCACGCTCTTGCTCCTAATTCATTTCAGTTTGAGCAATTCATACAGCGAAAAACTGCTTCGAATGCGGGCTGAACACTGGGATAAGAGTAAATCAGTGGTGTAGACACTTTAAATCTTTTCCCTTTAACACATGCAACTTTCCGTTTGTGCCATTGTGTGCAGCTTGACTTGTTTCTCAAACGGCAGCAGATGCTTTGTGAAAGGGTTTTTTCAATGAACTGTTGGCTTGAAAATAATAGTATGACGAGCTTCTCGTTGACTAACGCAAAGATGATTGGCTGGTTTCACTCGTGTGCTTCTCATTTTCGGATCTTTTCTAGATGAAATATACTCGATCCACAACCTCGTGAACTTCAATCATCGAACTTCGCTTCTTGTTCAGATAGACTTCTCCAATTTTCTTTCCCGCCAGAGCAGCACCCATGCTAGTAGATTTCGAATCACACCAAGTCGAAGTATATCCGGTTTTGCTTCTCGTGAGCTAATGGATCGCTCTGAACCAAAGTTTGTTCTTTTTTGTGATATCCTGCACTTTAGTAAATAAAAAAATCTTATCATTCTCCTACTATACTGAAGAGGGAACATTTTTCGGTGGCAAATCCCTTTCCAGTGAGAATGATCTCATTGAAAAAGATTCACTGAGACTACAATAGCCGGCAATGAATCGTGTTGTTAGAGCTTCCTCTTCGAGTGATGACTGTTGTAGTGGAATTTCAACCGATGACGAAAAATCTCCACGAAAGTCGAATGAAAGAAACTCATCTGACGCTTCACCCATGAGCTGGGTAATGTCACTCAGGCTGAAACTCGTTCATTTGATCCTCGTGAATAATTGTCGTCATCAGTTGGAACTCTAATACATCAGTCAACAGTCGAAGAGGGAAACCCATCGGCACGCTTCATTGCAGGCTATTCTAGTCTTCGTGGATCTAATCCAATGAGGTAAGTCTCATTGGAAAGGGATTTATCACCGGAAAACGTTCCCTAGCGAGCTTCCAACAATTGTTCAGAAACGTCTGAACAAGACGGAGAGTCATCGTGCGATTCATTGGATTGAATCACTCAACGAGCGAAAAGTTAGACGTGTCAGTGTCTAAAATCGGTCATCCGTAGACGCGGCAGCGTCTAATTTCGATACATGTCGATCAGTCATGCACTGAACTGACGCACCTTTTTAGACAGTTGAACCGTGTTCTTTTTTTGTAGTGATCGACTTCGATGACTCGAACAGCAGGAAACCAATCTCAGTTTGATGTAGTCTTGAATGCCACTCATCAAGATATAATCTCGAGAAACTTCTCGTTAATTTCACAAATTAATTTTTTGTCTCACTCACGAGAGAACATCTACAGGTGATAATTTCCGATTCCAATAATCTTTACTGATAGATAGAGGGTAATGTCCTAAAAGGGTTTCTCTCCATATTGCTTCTTTCAAAAGTTATGAATTTTCTTTCTTTGCCTGCATCGTACCTCATACAAAACTAAAAAGTTCATAACTTTGCAATAATAGCGAGTTAAGATCTGAAACTTTTTGCTATAGTGGTACTAATCGTATACCAATAATTCAGAAGATTTCAGCCTTTCAACTCTCGCAAGTTATCGATTTTTCACTAGCTTAAGGAAAACCATGTAATGTAATATTCCCTAAAATTTTTTTTCGAATAGCAGCCACTGTATTCGAGAGCCCGCTATAAAAAAACACGTAGTTGATCGATCACCATGAGAGTATCCACTGGTTTCCACTGTGTAAATGTATCGTACTATATAACACAGCGTTTTTCTTTTTGTTTTATATTTTTGTCACTGTAACTAATGCTAAAACATGAACAAAATGTATTCTAATATTTTCTAATAGCATTAACAGCATTTCCGCATCTCGGCTTATATCTGCTGCTGTTTGATCCGATGAAAAACGTTTCGAAACTAAATTTGCTAAAATTTCTAAAACGCAATGGAGATTTAGCATGCTGTTATCGCTGTGATAAGATGGTAGCGAATGGCAAAAGAAATACGTTCCATATATCTCTTTTTTTCTTTGTGACAAAATGAGAAAACACTCACGTGATAAAGCGAATTAGATATATATATTCCTTTTCTGGTAAATCATTTTCAGTCAAAAGAGAGTTTGGAAACACCTATGTTTAAGAGTAGTAGAACAAACATAGTTCAGCTGAAAACATGACTTTAGATGCTTTTCCTTAAGCTAGTAAAAATCGGTAACTCGCGAGAGTTAAAAGGCTGAAACCTTCTAGATTATTGACAGACGATTAGTACCAATATAGCAAAAAGTTTCAGATTTTAACTCGTTATTATTGCAAAGTTATGTACTTTTTAGTTTTGTATGATATATGATGCAGGCAAAGAAAAAACATTCATAACTTTTGAAAGAAGCAATATGGGGAAAAACCCTTTCAGAACACTGCCCTCTATCTATCAGTAAAGATTATTGAAATCGGAGGTTATCACCTGAAGATGTTCCCTCGTCAGAAAAATTTTCCATAGATGACTAATTTCAGAACGATAGTAAATGAAAAAAAGATTTTTGGAGACTGACAGATCGTTATGCATAATTTTCAAAGATTTGTTGATTTTTACCGCGGAGCATGCGCAAAATATTTTTAGAGGTTATAATTCTGTCGTCGCTTTCGATTAAAGAATGAAAATCTACCCTCTCAGTTAGATACTCTAAAATATTTTAAGAAGTTAAAGCTGACACCTATTCAACTGGGTAAGTAATTTTTTTCAGCTTCTGAGTGATTCATATTTTTCCTACCGTTTTCTTCACATTGTCGACGAATTGTAAAAAACACGATGAAGCAACGAAATAGATGGAAGTGGCAACCTCATTTTCAGTGTTCAATCAGTTTAAAACATGAAATTACTCAGAAAAAGAAAACTCGAGTTACTCAGCAGACTTCCGCTCACTCGCAAAATTTGTATCGAAAACGGTGAGCTCCACGATAAGAAATCTTGAAAATGGGAAAAGTTCGTTATAACTGTCTTTCAACATGCAAATCATTGTATGTACTTACTTGAGAAATAATTATTCATTATCATTGCAACGACGGATACACTTTTCTCAAACGCCACTCGAATAAAATTTAATATAAATTGTAGTGAAAACATTACCAATTAGATCTTGTGCTTCAAACATCTAGTTTTATCGATAAGTCTTAAACTGGAAACGCCTGTTTTCTCTATTTCGTTTCATAGAAATATCAAATAAACAAATATATAAACAGAAGAGAACTAAACGAGAGACAAACAAACATATGAGCAACAAAAAAGACAAAAAAACAACAACAACAGCAACAAAAATAATGAAATGTATAATAAAACTCAAAATGAAATCGGTTCTTGTTTATCTTCTTCTTTCAATTGTTTTATATATACATCATCAAAAAGAACAATGAAAGAGAAGACGAAGAATGTTAAGACGAACAATAGTAGTTGTTAATGAAAGAGAAATATTTCACAAAGAGCATACAAAATAAGACAAAACTGTTATTTTAATCAGATTATGAAGATAAAAACTAATCAGACAGAAGAATATATTTTTTTTCTCGACATTTGAATTCATCTATCTAAGATGTTCAGTTCTACAACAGAGATACTAATTTTAAAATTCTCCATGTAAAATATTATGTTTAAACAATAAGTAAATGTTTACAATATATCGCAGTTTTACAATAAGTTTTCATAATTAAATAACTAAAGTGACTAGTGAAAAGTAATAACTATTTTCTCTTAGTTTGATATAAGATGGGTAACATTGATATTTTGTTTTTTGGTTTTTTTTGACATTGTGATCAAATAAATGCCTATTTGCATAGAAAATGTTGCCATGAATTCAAGGAGCTTGAGTATGAGACAAGAAGAAACTTTCAGTATAAGAAAAGTTATCTGTTCATTAGATATTAAAGATGATGGTGGGTGTATGTTAGTAATAAACTTTAACCAAAAGAAAAAAGCGAATAGAGTAGAAATTATATTGAAGATACTGACATATATTATTGTTTTTGTTTAAAAAAAAAAAATGCATATAAAAGAAAAACTAATAATGTTTTGCTCAAAAAAAATAATAATAAAGTTTTGTGGCAACAACGCGAAGAAGAAGAAAAAATTCAAACATACACACACTTGCACACGATTTTTCTAATTCTAATGGAACTTTTTCGATATGAAAAAAAAATAATAGTGCGCACGAATCGACGTGTTCAACATATAATTCATCCGTATTAAGAAATAATGAACAAAATCTTTCATTTTAACAACAGGAAGAAAAACGTGTACAAAAACTTTTTTAATATATATATATATATAAATAAATAAAAAATGTTTTTTAATATGTGGCAGTTATTTTTGATAATATTGGATAAAATGCGGCGACAAATGCAATCGCCAGTATTCCAACAGGTACTATTGAACAAACGGAAATCTAAATAAAATACAAAGATTATATATATATAAACTAAAAAAAGAAAAAAGAATAAATATTTTGTTATTTTTTACTGTTTTTGTCCGAATTGAAAGTTCTTCATATTCATTTGCTGTTTCTTCGAGTACCGTTTGTAATTCAGCACAATGATTTTCGAGTTTTTGAATATAACTTCGAGACTCTTCAAGCTAAAATGAATAATATTTTTCAGTTTTATTTGAACAAATTTCATAGTGATAACTAATGTAATGTAGAGACTCTACCTTATCCTGATATTGATCGACTTCTTTCTGTGAATCAGTTAAATTATGTTTAATTTTGATTTCACTCGATTCAAGTGCATTTTTTAGCGTTTGTAATTCTTCATATGTATCTTGTAGACGATTATATTCCGATGATAATTGTAAATTTTCTTGTCGAGAGCTAAAACAATCAGAAGAAGAAAAAAGAAAAAATAGTCGAGAAAAACAGAGTTAAATGTTGATATCACATACCTTTTCATATCATTTTCTATTTTAACAATTCGATTTTTTAACTGTGCACATTCATCTCTCAATTGTACAAAATCATTCATTTGATGTTCACTCGTTTCTGATTCTGAATTCGAAGAAATTTTTGGTGATAAAGATGAAAATCCATTTGTATTGGTACGTGATGATGTTGTTTTCACAGATATTAAAGATGATGGATAAGCACCATTTGGCAATGAAGATGATGATTGTACAGTGGTACGTGTTGATAATTTTAAATCATCACTCAATGAACTCCATGTCACTTTTAAATGTTCAATATCCGATGTTAATTTATCTAATTCATTTTGTTTAGTCAAAATTGTTCCATTTAAATCATTTAATTCTTTTTGTTTTGTTACGAGTGGGGATTCAGTAGTATTGTTCAATTTACTATCGTCTTGTTTTTGTTTTAATAATTGATCATATTGTTCTTTTAATTGTTGAAATTCAATACGTAATACTGAACATTCTCGTGTTACAACTTCTAATCGATTACGTTCGGAATAATATTGTTCTTCCATATCGTTAAGACGTTCTAAAAACAAAAATACAAAATAGAGATAGATCATAAAGCCAATTATCGACTAGCTGTGTATGATACTGAAAGCAAAAGCGTGAAGCAATGAATTTTTATGAAGCCTTTTCTACGACAATAAAAATATGATAGAACTTCTAAACAATTTCATTAATAACTAGACCAATATTGTTCACATTTTCTGATGGCTAATACGAAATATGATATATTTTATTAAATGACATGTAGTGAATACTACTGGGACTATTGTAAACTAAACAATATTGCGTTCAACGACTAATAGAAGCAAAAAAACACTATACGATAAACTACAGCTTGTTTCTAAATTTTTATTGTGTCTGTGTATTAAACCTACTTCGAACGAAACACATTTCATTCTGTTTATCAAGGAGAAGTAGCTTCTCCTTATCTAATTTAACTGAACACATTGACGGGAAAAAAGTAGAGAAATAGTTAAGTAGTACACAACATATGTGAATGAATAACGTACCTTTTGTTTCATTTAAGTGTTGACGAATCAGTTCAGATACTTTCTCTTCATTTTCCAGTAAACCTAAACGGAAACAATCAATCATATAAATCATTGATACGATACTAAGAAAAAAAGAAAACATACATTTATATTGTACACATTCTTTTTCTTTCAAAGCTAATCTGGCATTTAATTCGTCTAAAACGGAAAAAATTAAAAATATTTGATTTTACCAGAAAATGAAACGTTTCATACCAGTATCATTTTTATGTGATTTTGTTTCGTCGGCAAACGCCACTGTTGTTAAAGAAGGAGAAACGGGTGCAAGTGATACAGGATGAAGTGGTTTTATTTCGTTAGTATTTGTTAGTTTGTGATCCTTTTCTTCAATAACGTCATGATTCTTCCCTGATTGATATTTATCTTCTTCTTTTTGGGTAGATAATGTTTTGTTTTCATGTTGAGATAGAAAAGATTGTTGATCATTCACAACTGGAGTTTTATCACCACGTTCAAAATTATACCAACTTTGTATCACATTATCTAATAATACATAAATAATACACATAATAATGAACTCGTTTTTACAGATATTAAAATCTAGTATCTAAATCTAGTATTTACATCTTGAATAGTAAAGCTATCGAAACTAGTTGAAGAACTGGATGAACATCAGATATAAAAAAGCTCTCGCATAAGACTACCCCTAAGATATGTGATTAATTCGAACCTAAATCTTTCTCTTGTTCGTCTTCATCTTCATCGTCCTAGAAAAGATAACATTGAAAAAATTTAAAAATTCTGTATTAAATTAAATGCCTTTTATTACCTCATTGCCATTTTCATTTGACTCTGGATTCACTTGCATATTCGGTCCAGCATCTAGAAAAAGACAGACATAGGTAAAGTCTATGCTTTAAAATAAAATCATGGAACGCACCATCATTCGTATTTTCTGAATTAACATTGTAATTTTCTCCTTCATCATTCTGATTCTGTTTCGGTCTCATGACAACATCATCATCGTCATTGTTATCGTAATCAACATTATTATTGGCTGGTAAATCAGTTTGTTGTTTTTGGAATTCATTCATTGCATCTACAAACAATGGGAACGTCAAAACGATTATAAACATATTTAGACTGTCTATTAACCTTTCGAAGATGAATGTACACGAAATCTACCTCTTGTCTCAACAATGTTTAATCCACTCTACAACAAAAGATGATGAAAATAATGATGTACTATTAAGCGGTAGGATTAATCTTGTACCTGTTCATTATTACTATTATTCATTATTTTTTGTTGTTGTTCCTGTAGTTCTTCAAGTTTCTGTGTACGAAGAAAATATTCCTGAAAATCAGATTCAATACGATTCCGTTCATAATCAAGTTCGGTACATCGTGTTTGTGACTCCTAAAAATGAATAATTTTATTTTCACAAAACATACAGTTAGAATGCCTGTTTTGAACATTCGAATATGGAGATACGATAAAAATATACTCTATTATTTAGTTGTTAATAACAGAACATAACATACATCACATAATAGAACAGGCATAGATCGTATTATTTCTATTCAAATGAAACTGCAACACATCTTACTCTTAGTTTTTGCTCGAAGTCAATAAGTAGATTTCGTTGTTCATCAATTTGATTAACTAAATGATGAATTTCTTGTTTTTGTTGTTCATTTTGTTCTTCCATACGTTTTAATTCGTCCTGAGCTAATTGTAGTGTGCACTATAACAAATTACATTAAAATAACTAATTTAGTAGAAGAACAAAGGAAGAGTCAATGACCTACTTCCAAATTTCGTACACGACTAACAGCATCCGTTTTTTCTAGTAGTGCTTGTTCAAGTTTAATCTAAGTTGAAAATATAAAATCAAACGTTTGACTCTCACAACTGCACCACTATACTTTTGCTTCGTCTTCGTATTTCATTCGTGTTTGTGTTAACTGAATAATTTCTTGTTTTACTGTATCTTCATTTGGATGCTAAAAATGGCGTATAATTTTGTGGTTGTCTCGTTTGAGATTGACTTACTCTTAGCACTTACTTTTACATGATATGCACGAATCTGATCTTCAAGAGCATTTATTCTTGCTAAAAGGCGATCTTCATCAATAACTGCCTAGATAAACAAATAGAATGGATTTATTAATTTGAAAAACAAACACTCAGTTGTTGAAAATACCTGCCAACCATCATTAGATGCTTTTTGTGTATCTTGAAGTACATTTTGTAAATAAGATAATTTTTGTTCAAGTTGTTGTTCACGCTGAAGAGCTTCCTGAATAAAACACAAATATGGTTGAGTTGACCATATAAAGTGTCTCATGCGACTTACTTGAAGATATTGAGCTAATTCATATAAACTACGAGTATTCATGTCTAGATCTTTCTGCTGAGTTATTGAATGACTACTCAAGCTAGAATTGAAAGAGAGAACTATTATTTTATTGATCATCTCTGAAATCTCCCATCCACAATATTCCCATATTTTAATGTATATACCTGCGAGGTAAGGCTTCACTGCCATCACTGTGATATAGTTTTGCTTCGATAATAATACAATTATGAGTAGCTAAATAAAAAAGTTGTGTAAATATCTGACAATTTCAATGTCATTTAAAGATTTGTCTAAATTTTAAAAGTATTGGTACCTCTATCGTAGAAAAAATGGTAAAAATCACATAGAACTATCGAGTAGAATAACTTTCAATATATCCCGTTGTATAGGGTTATAATTTGACTCATTATTAAAAATATGCGAATATAATACTTTCTGTACTTTTTCTATTGTTTTCCGTAACATCTACACCAAACTGGACAATATCGCCGCTAAATATTTCAAATGGTAAACTTTCTTCGTTACATTTTCCTAAACGTTGATTATTCACGAACGTTCCATTTGAACTTTTAGTATCTTGTAGATAAAACTAAAAAATTAAAGATAGAAAACAAACAAAAATAAATAATAATTTATAAAGAGCTACTTATTATTTGTTACGTACTTTCCCGTTTTCATACCACAATTTTGCATGCTGTCTCGATAAGACTTTACAATCAAATATGGCATTATTCTGTAATGCTTTCAAACGAGCCACAGCTCGTCCAACTTTAACTGGCTCTGTTAATGGTATACGTCTCTCTTGAAATGGATGTGAATTTGGACGACAAAAAAATACTGTACATGGATATGGATTTTGTGATTGTTGTTGTTGAGAAGATGATGATAACGATGAACTACTATTATTATCTTCGATCATCGTCATCATTAATACATCATTCGAATATGAACCATTTGTATTTTCAAATAGAAAACAGGATGAAGGGGAATGATTATTGTCCATCTATTCAAACAGAAATTATATTCTTTAAAAATGTAAAATCTTTTGTATCAGTATCTAATACTTACCCACGATGCTTATCTTTTTATCCATTGGGTTAAATGTAAAAATAAATTGGAAGATCTACTAATCATGATAATCGATTGACCGAGGAACTTTTAATTTCAAATCTAGAAAAATGAAACATAAATATACTCATATTTTTTGTAGTCTCATAGATAAAAAATAATCAAGATATCAAGTCTCTCTTCCATTATGATTAAATTAAAAATATTTGATATTAAATAGAAAGTAGACTCGAAAAGTGGATTTACTTAACATAAAAAAATATCAAAAATTACATAGTTTTTGTTTTGAAAAAATATATACAGTAATTCTACCATAAATATCGCAACAAAAACTATCTAAAACAAATTAACAAATTAAAAATATATACAAATATATAAACACAGAGATAAACGGTAGATGGAATGTTCTTTTAGTATTACAGAGAAAAGGTTTTTAATGATTCATGTTCGGTACTGTTGTTATTATTGCGGAGTTATCAATAAGAGGAGAAGCACAGACGGTTGTCGTTGAATTATTTGTGATATTCTTGTCTGTATTATTAAGAGCAGATTTCGGAAATCTTAGTTGTACGGTTGGGCAATATCTCGCCCGTTCATGCACTACTGGAGCTTTAATCCATTTTTGTTCGTCAAGATTATAATAATAACCTTCTTGCATAACAATAAATGAGTTCGATGTATGAAACACAGAAATATAGATACGTCGTCCAACTGTGCCTAAACTCTGTGGCCACGTTTTTGATATTGCACCCGGTATATTCGTTAATATTGTCCATTGATCGTTTTTAACATCATAACTTTCAATGCTCAACATACCGTTACCATCGTCATCAAATCCTCCGATAGCTAAAATAGTTTTAAATATTTTGATAAAAATTAAAAAAAAGAAAACTATTCTTTTAGAGTTTGACAAGAATAAAATAAAGTTACTTACCCAGTATTCTTTGATCGAATACAGTCATATTATGTGTTGTTCTTGCACTCAGCATACTTGCTCGTCGTTCTAATTGCTTTTTGTTTATATCAAAACAATAAAAATCAGCTATTTTCGACCTATAAATTTATACTGAACAAAATGAAATATTGCAGAATAAAAATCATACTTTCATTGAATATAAAACAGCTATTTTTGCAAATAGTAGAATAAAATTTTTAATAAAAATGCTCCGAGAATACTTATCACTTGAAGAAAAAATTCTCTCAGTTGTTCGAATTACTTACCATTGTCCATTTTTTCCTCCACCTAGATAAATCTTATCATCGTATGCACAAGAGGCCAACGATGATAATTGTGGTCCATCGTTAGAAAAAGATTCCCAATGATCATTTTCAATCGAATATCTCTCAATCGTATTGACATAGACCCTAGTTGTTCGTTTAAATCCTTCAAATCCACCCATACTAAATAAAAGACAGATAGGAGATATATTTAAGAGTACTAAAAGACAACTTACATATAGATATATTTATCAATATAGGCAGCTGCAAATCTTGATCTATCATGTAATAATGGTTGTAACTTTGTCCATTCAAATGTTCTTGTTGAAAAACGATAACACGATTTATATTCTTCACTTGTTGAACGTCTTGTACCCAATACATATAAATAATTATTAACAGTTATAGCTGCAAATGGATATGGATAATTTTCTTCGAGAGGTGCCTGACAAATAGAATCCCATCGTTCACATTTTGCATTCAATGTAAATAATTCTGTTTCACCAACAGCAACAAGAACCGGCTCATTTCTAATTCGACACTGAATGGTATTTAATAATGGTTGACGTTTTGGTAAAGAATAATAGCATAGTGCATCCAATATCAGCTGCTTACAATCATCATTTGATCTTATGATATCACTATCAATTACTTTATCCACAAGTTCCTCAGGGGTCATTAACATAAATCTAATTGATAAAATGATCTCAACGTTAGTTTCTTTCTATATCGAAAATACAGTATCTCACTACTTTACAGCGAAAAAGTTACTGTAAATTATTCGGTGAAATAATACGACAGAACAAAAACTAGTTATAAACAAACCTGATATGTTTCATTAATGTCGATGAATATTGTAATCTTTCTTGTCTATTACTGCTAATCCATAAACAAACCATATTAAATAAATCGTATTCATTAATAATATCTAACGTATCTTTTTGTAATTCATGACATAATTGTTCTAAATTCAATTGTTCAAATTGTTCTCGAGCTAATAACATTAGATCAATAAAATTTTGTGGTATAAAACTTTTTACAACTAAAAGAACATCCGCTAATGTATATAAATCAGCTATCTTATAGATATCAACACAATTATTAATTGTTAATGATGTTATCAAAAATGTTGAACATAATTGAATAGCATCATGAATTTGTAAATGAGTAGCAGAATGTAATAGATCCATAATATTATCAAATGTAATTGATAATACTCCACTGTATGCAAAATTTAACATTGATTGAACGCCAATCGAATTTTCAAAGCCTTTCAAAACAACATAATCCGAATAACTTTCACTCATATTACCTAAATGTATAAATAAACAATATTAAAAAGAAATAGATAATGACAATAATATGTGATCCATTACCGCCCAGCATTGCTTTAAAATAGTCAGAAGTAGCTATTAAAATGAATCTATGACATAAAAAAGTTTTATCATTAACAATTATTTTAAAATCACATAAATCTGGTTTATCACGCATTGAGGATAATTTTGTTAAAAGAGTTGAAGCATAGTTTGATGTTGAAGCGTTAAATTCTAAATTTATTGGATCATCTTCATTGGTTAACACTGGATGTTTGGAGCATAATGACAAGTGATCTAAGGATAGCTGTAAACAAAAAAATACAATGTCTAAGTAGAAAAAAAATGAGTCATTCTTTTTCTGAAAATAAAATGAAAAAAAATTACCGTTGATGAGTAACAGGATGAGGGTGGAGGCGGTGCTGATAAAGAATGCTGTGTACATTCGTTTTGCATATCAGACGATTAAGTAAACCTGGATGGAAGAAAGAAATCGTAATTAAAACATTTTTCAACAATTCAAAAGAAATTGAATAGAGTAATAGAGAAATATATGTGTTGTACTATAGAACATTTGTCTTTCACTTTTCATTATTGATCTGGTATTGTGTTTTAGCTTTTCAAATCTAATGTCCATGAGAGACTTTCACCATGACTGTAAAACTCTACTCAACATTTAAACTGTTGAAATTCTATGGTGCTCTAAATTCCTTGTTTTTATACTGCGTACCTAAATTAATCTCCTTTTGAATTCAAGGAGAGTAGATTGAGAATTGTAATAAAGATCATGGTACATATTTTTCTTGTTTGTTACTAGCTAACAAAATATCGATAATACAGATTTCTAAGCAAGAATAAACATACATAACGATATTTTATAACCTTCATGCGAAGAAACAACTCACTTCTAATTAATTATAAGAATTAATATAAACAATACAAATTATTATCTAAAAGTAAAAGTTGAACAGCACAAATCTTTTGACAGTGAATCAAGTTTTTGTTTTACTTCAGGATTTCATTATAAAGAGCTAGCAACGTTTCTTCCATCTAGAGAGAAAGGAGGAAAAAGACCCTTAATCATCCTGGCCAAACGAAAAGAAGAAGCCGATAGGACATTGAATCTAATTGATTTTCTAGGTCAGAGATTTCAAGTTTACTGGAATCTTTGTACATTCTGAACTAGTGGAATGCTATTACGCGACTTTACTAAGAATTTTTGCAAAACTGATTAAAAATCTTTTATTTAAACTATGACTAAAACAATTATTCTGATAGGATTGCAAATCTAACAAAAGTGCAGCAGTTTTAGATATAATGAATAGCTGATACAATAATAATTTAAGTTCAGTTAAATATCGATAAATTCTACTTCATACTACTCATTTTAGTGTTTTTAAATAATGTACACATTTGTTAGCATCAAGTAGGTAAACAAGCCTCGAGGAACACTTAAAACTGTTCGTTATTTATGTCATCTGATCTGATGTGGAAATATTACATCAAAAATGCTAGCAGGACATGTGAGTATATAATTGATGGTTCGAGTAGCACACTCTCATACCTCACTACCTATACAAGACATGTATTTTGTCAGTAATTGTTGTAACTATTGTTCAGTAGTATTTGATGACAGTTGCAATTTCTATTTCTCGCAACTAGATTCAATGTAAAAATTTGTTGCACAAATAATAAAAAATAGTTACATATCAAAGATTTTTACAAAACAGCTTCTCTTGTTGTAAGAACAGCTTATCAGTCTTTAACTAAATTTCATAAACTTATTATCGAACGTTATGCACTTTGAAAAATTGATTTAGTTGCTAGAACAGCAAATGACATGTTGAAAAAATGGTAATAAGCAACATTTAAGATGAGACGAAATAAAAGTAGTGCCATTGACACAACTAGGAGAAAGGCCATTGAGCTTCGGTGTAATGAGCTTTTATAGAAGTTCTATTATTCTGACTAAAGTTTTTCACAGTATAATTCAATCCTGTTTCTTGAACCAATGATCGAAAAATTTTAGTTGCATTACACTAAGTAGCACATCATTTTTGTCCAAAATCATCAGATCCGTAGCTAATTCTGCTAATTTATTCTTTTCATCTCTCGTTATGTTTTTAATAAGTTCTATAACTTTTATCAAACTTCATCTTATCATTCGACATCCTGACTTAAATGACATTCATCTATCAACTTTAATGTGCACAATTGTATCTAAAAGCTTTAGCTCAAACTAGTAAGTTATCCAGGTAGTGAAAAGAAAACGCCTTGAAGTATGCTGACATCTCTACAAATCAATCAATACACTCTAAAAAAATACCAACACCTTTTTGATTTGTTTACTTCAACATTTATCTATTTACAACAATAAAAACTTAATAATAAATGATTAAGTTTATCTAAATTATTCTGCACTTGGTCGATCTTTGATAGCTAATTTAAATCTATCTTCTAACAATGACATTTCAAATATTAAATCTTTAATAGCATTCTCCAAAGCTTCTTGTGGTGTATATGAACTTGTTGATGTTTGTACACGTAATATGACTTTATGTTCCAATGGATGTGGTACTTTATAGCCAGCAAATATCACATTAGGATCCTTCAATAATTGTGCTCGTAACATATTCGCGAGAGTATGATCTTCTTTACTTATTGTAAATACAACTGCATTTGGAACTTTTGTGTCTTTTTCTATTAAAATCTTCTTTTCACCGTCAAGTAACAGGAATGATTCAAATGTGGCTGGTGCATTCATCTGAAAATAAATAAATTTATTTTGTTAAAAAATAGAAAAAAACGCCGAGATTTATTACTACTAGTTAGCAAAAAACAAAAAAAGAATGTGTAAGCTACACTTTTATTTGAAAATGTAATGTAAATGCATTGGATTAAAAGCAAATAAAAGACGGTATACTATAAAAAAAAAAAGCAGAATCACGCATATGAAAATACAGTACACAAGAAAGTGTCAAGTAAAAATAAGTTAATAAGTTGTAAGTCAAGTAATATATAAGGGAACAAAAAAAAAACCTGTAAAAGTTTATCCATTCGACCTTGATCCATCAATTGTTTTCATGTATTCTGACAAAAGAGTATTAGGTGGAATAAATTTAAGCCGATGATTTTCAACTTGAGTATAGCGTTCACCATCTTTGGTGAAACCTAAAAATAGATTAAGAAATGTGTTCAAAGAGCGCACAAATATCTTTATTGATCTCTGAAATTAGTGAGAAATATGTCTATTTACTTTTTGATATTAAATTAAGGTATTGCGAAACGGCATGTAACAACATTCGATCAAAACTATTATTCAAATCTCGAATATATACCGAATCAGAATGTTCGTTAAAAAATGGTATTAAATCATCTTCAAAATCCATAATACGTTCCTAAACGAAATACAAGCAACAATAAACATTTTACTTTGATGCTAGAAACTAACTCTTACCAAAGGTAAATGGCGTCGTTTTAGCATGCTTTTCAAAGCATAACGAATATTTGAATCAATACGATTGAAACGTTGATCAGCAGAGTATACAATATTTTCTACAAAAACAAACCAAAAATGAACATGCTTAAAATAATGTTTGATGCTTTACCTTGATCAAGATTAATCGTGTGCTTTTTCTCAATGATAATAAATGTTTCAGATGAATCATCATCCATCGATAATGAACAATCACTATTATTCAATTCTATTGATGTACAGCGATTAAATTCTTGTTTTTTCATATTTGTTTGTTCATGGTCAGTAGCCAATTTTAAAATACGTTCTTGTTCATCTTCCGGTAAATCTATAAATTCATTCCACATCTTAACAAGAACAAAAAAAAATATGTAGAGAGAAACAAAAGCAAGTAATGTTAGCTAAATAGTGTTATTCCTACAAAATACACGCACATACAATTTCTGCAATCACTTAAACATGCAGCCGTGCACTTGAGAAACAATCTCAAGTAAACCAAGTGTGCCATTTTAAGAGACGAATGAATTTTTTTCATGTTACAACGATTAGACGAGCAATCTACTGTAAATATCAAAACTCCCGCTACAACATACAATGAATTTTTATGGTATTCGGTGGCGGTAAACTCAAAAAACAAGCACAAAGTTTTTCGTAACTTCATTTCAAGTTTCTATTTCTAGTAAAACAAGATTTTCTAATAAATGTTTTATCAGTCAACGACTTACTTAATGTCGATCTAGTTTGTGTCACTAAGAGAACTAAGTTAACAGCTAAACTTACTCTTTTGAAAAACAAACAGATATTTTTTGTCAATTTTACTTACACAATCGAAGATATTTGGCAGACACAATAAACGATACAACTTGATTATTAATACGTAGATTATAGAAACTAGACAGCATGGTCCTACATATCTGACCAATCCGCATGGAGACGAAAAAAGAAATTTCTCTGCCGTACAACCCAAATAATTCCAGAGGCGGATTCTAATCGTTATTAGATGTCGTAGTTTCTCAAGAAGATAACTTTTTTCTATATTAGAGAAAGAACCTCTAAGTAAAACTCTTAAATCAATATGTCATACATAAATTTGTTCTGTTGAGCAGCACGGTTTGATGTGATTATAATAATAGAAAACAACTTCATCTTAATTAATATGGTATACCTTCATTTTCTTTTTATTTAAAAGTAATTCAGCAAATGCTGAAGTAGTATTTTCTACCAAGTCGTTAATATTAACTGCAGCAAAATCTTCATCCAGATCTGTAGCCAAATTCAATAGAAAGCACACTAAAAGAAAAACACAAATAAACGTTTTTGTACTGACAGAAATAAATAATTTACGTACTATTTTCATGCCGTTTAGCTTGTCGTTGTCCTTGTGATTTTTTACTATGTGTTTTTGATTGTAATGTTGGTTTTGGTATTCGATTTAACATTTGTTTTTGTCGACGTGCACGATTTGATCTGTTTTTTGTCAATAAAGGAGTAGGTTGTAGAGAACTCGGATGATAAACTGTTTCATCGTCATCATCACTCGATGCAGAAACACTATCAACAGAAAAAAAACCGCCACATTAAAGAAAATTATCCATAGAACATTAATCGCACCTCGGGTTATTATTTAAAATCTGCTCAATATGAGGAAATGCTGTTGCCGTCGTATCAATTTGTGTTACAATATCATCGTCAATATTTTTCAGAATACCCATATTATACTTGATCGAATATATAGAAAAAAATAATGATGATATGCAAAAAAAACTGTTCTAGAACAGACGAAACGACATTGACTGTTAATTAGATTTAAACAGTAGCCCGTAGAAGAAAAACACACGCCATTGTATGACTCTAGAAATCTCACGCTCATACAACGACCATGCACACTGTTAGTCAGTCTCCAGTCAAAAGCTATTGATAGAGACTTCGATAAATCTCTATTGACTTCAAACTGTGCGAGAAACAAGAGGAGAAAGAAATGTAACTCATCGATCACACGTATTTTCACATACATACCATTCTTCTACCGAGATCACTATATTGTCATTTAGAAAACTATTACATTATGAAAGCTTTTTTCTTTTTTTTACAAATTGACAAATTATGTCATGTTAGCAAAATGACCCAATACTAGAAATTGAGTACGATGTTTCACCTAAAAAGTTTTAGAAAAGAAATGACAAGCGAAAAATAAACAACTGCTTATAAACAATAATAGATAAATAAATAAAATAAAGAGTGAAAAAGATCGCATAGAAGATGACTGGTTGAACGTTCAGCAAACAGGATGAAGGCTGATGTACAGTGCGACAAATAAATAAACGCAAAAAGTATCGACTAACTCACTCTATAAGGAGTAAACGACTTATAACCAACACAGAAGTATTGAGGCTAATAAAATAAACTTCATACAATCGCACAGAACGAAATGGTAGCGCCAGGACTGTAAAACTTGACATTAGAAATCACTCACTTAAGTGAGTGATCATGCCATCCACTTTTCTGTATTGTACATCAAGGAAAGTGGATGAATTTCCTTTGTTTATCACTCATCACCCGCTTTAGCCGAAAAGTGTTATTCTACTGGGTAACTGATAACCCATTTTTGTAGAGAGTGCCATCTATAAGAGTGGTCACTCAGTAGAATAACGTTTTTGCTCTGCTAAAGTGGATGATGAGTGATAAACAAAGGAATTTCATCCACTTTCCTTGATGTACAATACAGAAAAGTGGATGGCACGATCACTCACTTTTCTGATGTCAAGTTTTGCAGTGAGTATGCTACGATGAAGATCCAATATTATAGTAACATAGTGATACACGACTGTAGATTTGACTGTAATACGCTCGTTTACGGCGGCATTATTACTTCGCATAGGATTACAATTAGTAAGATGACAACTGGTTGTGTAACGCCCGATTACAGACGGAATATATCTAGATTTTTCTTATAGGTGATTTTTGCTTGGATGTGCATGACACACATGACTGAATTGCGTAATCACTGTACCGTTTGAAAAAAAAACAGAAAATAAAAAACATCTGACTTGTACACATTCGATACAGCTATATCAATTGTCTACCAATCGGTTTATTTTCCCAACTTAGTTACATATGCTTTCGAAAAACTCCATAACAATTAGAATTAGTTGTCTACTATTTCACATTTTTCGGATAAAAAGGTATCTCATTAATTTGAGTACAGTTGTTTCGTATATTAGCAGATAAAACGCGACAATATATGTTATCTGGAACAGGCGCTATCAGATTTTAGACGCATGAGATGGCATAATAGTTAAGAGTTTGAAATTTTACGGTAATTCAAATTTTTAATGATTTTACGGCTATATACATTGAAATTTGATAAACCGAATAAGCCAGTAGATGCGCCTATCAAGGACGAATCGATTAATATATAATAAGTTGAGATTGTATCAAATCTTGATCAAGGTATGGTTATTTTAATACCGCAAGACAAGATTATGGAGAAACATATCGCCGAACATTTTCCGTATGTCCGAGTTTTTTCTAAATGGAACAGTTTTAAGATTTGGAAATTTCTGTGGTAACCGAGCTCTCGAGTGTTGAAAATGGATACAGATCTCGGGTCAATCGAGTGCATGTTTTTGAACTCCTATTAAAACAAATTTGAAAATTACACCGGACAAAGTGTGTGAGAATGATGCATTTTTGAAATTCAAAACCTTCCAATTTTCTCCAGTTACGACTTTGACAAAAGTATTTATCAAAAGACATTTTACCAATACACAATATGGTGACAATAGTCTGAAGTCTAAAGGTCAAAAAGTCAGTGAGAAAACTTGATTTTAATGTCGTCAGATAAAAAAGCCGAAGTATATGTCGGCGAAGTTTAGATATTCTAAAAGCCTGGAATTAAAGCTACAAATTGATATAATTTAAAAATTAAACTTATTTATATATTTATTTAAAAAAAGGACGTTTTGCAGACAGATAGTGCTAGAACGGTGTATTTTCTGAATGTTTGAGTCATTACCCTGCAACGACACTTGATAAAGACTTGATTTTTTTCAATGTTATATATGCATTCAAAAACAAACACGACGTTTTTTCCCGGAGCAACTAATAGGTGAAGCTTTCTGTGTTTTCACCATTTCTGCAGAGTTTCTCTTAAAGGTTTTTGTTTTTCAAACTTTGATTAGTTTTTATTTCCATAACGTAGTTTTTCAGAATAAATTAGTGTAGTAGTAGACAGTGAAGGATAATTTTTTTTAAATTTTACACTTCTTCCATGGTTACGCTTTAGTCTTCAGATCTTCTTGTCATTTCTGCATGTGCTTGTCAAAGTCTATAATATTTCGACTTATTGCTAATAAGTACTGATAAGTGGCAATTTTTATTCGTTAAAGTGTTTGATTCTTACACATGATTTGGGTTATGTTCAAATATTATTAAGTTTTTTCGGCGGTTGCAGCTAATTTGAGAGTCAAAACTCTTGGTTTTCCATAAGTCTAAACCGCTGTTTTTGATCAATATCAATAATTATTTTGGATTCTTTCGTCCTCATACATTCTATTTTTAAGTGTTCTGTAATCTACATTTTTTTAAAATGTAGTATGAAATAGCAAATTAAAGAATAGAATGAAAATAATGATATTCTACATATATATATATGCGTCGTGTAGTTTTGATAATTATGTACTGGAATAATGTTATGAAATGAATCAAATGCTCTGCAAGCGAATAAAAGTCGAGTCTTCTAAAGTGAGACCACTTTTTTGATAAAATGTGGAAGTCTTAATTGATATCAAACAAACATCAGAGGGCGAACGTGAGTGAGTGCAAAAAACTAGTGGTCTCAATTAAGGACTCACCATTAAAATGATTATAGAACTCATATAATTAGTTTTTATTTGTTGAAACTACAAAAGTAACAGAAGTCTTAAGAGAAATTGACGAATATTGTGGAAGAAAATTCTGTATTGGGTACATGAGGTGTTGAATCTTGATGTTTAAAGTATAATGTCTAAATATGAAATTGTCCAGTATTAAGTATTGTAACCAATAAAAAAATTTTGAAATTTTCGCGATCACTTTCTTAATTTGACTTTTCGAGAACTCGGTTTATAACGTATAAGCTATCAAGATGAAAGTATTTTAGTGGAAAGTTCTCGCTCGACTTTTAATTTTATCTTTTTTGTGTTCAGTATAACTGTACAAGATGTGTGTGTGTGTGTATATTATAACTAAAATAGTATATGTGTATCCTCCTTGGCTATCTATCTACATCTGTTATGGTTATTTACTCATTTATTTTTACTCTCGACACTAATATCAAAATTATCTCATCTGATGTGCGAAATATTTACGCCTTTTCTCTTTATTTATGTTTTTTTTCTTTATTTTCTTTTGTGTCAACCTCATTAAATAGGGACAATAAATCTCAATGAAAAAAAAGTATTTTAGTGGAAATAGATTATGTAAAAATGACGTTATTATCAGTATCTCACTTCTTTTTATGGGTATTTTTGGTGAAAAGATCAAATACCAGCTGCAACTCTGAGTACCAAAACTACACGATAAAACACATACCGATAAAACTTTGAAAATTTTGGTCTTGGTATAATGATTCAACTATAAGTAAAAGGTTTATTTAATAAATACTTTGTCTTGTCAGCACACTTTTCTCTACAGAATAGTATTTATCAATCTGCTCTCTTCTCTTGCTTGCAAAAAGATAAAAATCAATTCCTGATTCTTTATATGAAAAAATAGTCGCATACAGTTGAATTTCGATAGCGAAAATCAAATTACGCTGCAGAAAAAGCAGCACTTTAGCTGTTAATAATTTAGGAAGATAAGTGTAAATGAGACCGACCTATGTCCAACTTACTCCAAAATCCCACCGTAGATAACAAAATTTTAACCGACTAGAGTAGTAACAGTACCGTAAATTCATATTCACATGATATACTTGGCAGAAATATTGATTACTGTTGATCGTGGACTTGCAATTGTTCGGTTTGACTTTTATTCTCAGAGTTCTTCCCTTTCTCCTTTATAAACGAATATAAGTTTGGACACATTTTTTTTCAGACTAATAAAAAACGAAAATGAAAAGAAATAGAAAGTCGACGACAAACAAAAGTATAAATATAAACACGCAGTAGATAAAATGGAACGTTCTGATATGAAACAATACAAAAAAAGAATAATCAACTTATAAATACAAAACGAAAGTCAAGGAAGAAGGTTCTGACTTAGTTGCTTTATAATTTTTAGTGTGCACAAAAGACAAATGAAAGATAATCAGCGTCTTTGACATGACCATCTGTTTTCAAAAAAAAATCACTAAAACCTTTTTAGCGTGCTGAAATGACAGCTATAGACACACGCACACAAGCAAAAACGAAGACTATTAGCCAGTTCAGACCTGAATCACATTAGAAGACAAGTTTATAGAGGTTAATTTTTCAGAACAAGAACAAAAGACATAACTTCAGATACAATAGTAAGAGAAAAAGTAAGTAATAGGTACACAAACTTTTTAAGAGAAAAAAAATTTCAAAATTATTGATAATTGTCAAACAAATGAGAAAATGAAAAGCCTAATGACATTTATAGAAATTGACAACTGTTTAATCTTTTCGAACACGTAGTCGAGCTTTAGTCGCTGATGGTGAGGAGGGTGCCGAAGATTGTTTCGTTTCTTCACCACTATATTCAGCATCACTCTTTTTCTAAATACAAAAATATAATAATTAGTTGGTCGTATATAATTGAAAAAGGGTTTTCTGTCTACCTGCTCATTGCCATCATTTTCTTCTTCATCATCGTCTGCGGTATCCTTTTCTAATGAACCTTTTCCTGTTCGTTGTTGTTGTGTTGTTGATCTTTGTTCAACATTTTTTTTCGCTCTTGTTGCACTTGTTTGACCTTGCGTTTCTTTATCGTCTGAGTCATTGTCATCCTCTTGATCTTCAACATTACGTTGAGACGTTTTTGATGTTCTTAACTCACTTGTTGTTCGTTCAGATGACTCTTGTTCAACATCATCTAGTGTTGCATCATCTGTTTTCTTCTTTCGTGCATTCATATCACTTATGGGTGATTTTTTCGATTTTCTTGACCAAAAAAATGCAATTAAGATGATAATGGGCAAAACGATAACAACGAGATACAATGCCCATAACCATGGACGGTCTTTTGTAGCATTCATCAATGCTTCGACAACACTTTCGCTTGACGATGATGTTTTGCCTTCTAATGAACTCTTTGGATACCACAACGTATCACCGTATTGTTTTGCTAATGATTGATCAGATGTAATTAGAAAATTATCAAAAACAACGCCATCAATGATTGACCATAATTCAAGAGCAACAGCACTAAACGGTGTCAATTTGTATGGATGAGCATCTTCGAAATAATCGGGATTTGGAATTTTGCGTGCTTCCCATTTTCCCTAAACAAAGATCGTTGATGTTGTATCTTACGTTAATGATCTTTTTACTCAATTATTTCTAGAGCACTAGGTAATTATATACGTGATTTCAATAGCTATAGTTTTCCTATTCTTTTAAAAAAAATAAGAGCATGAAAAACTATACTTTATAGTTTGGATTGTCTATTAAAGGTGCTCGCCATGTTCCTTTATATTTTGGATTTGGTATCAATGGTGCAGTCCACGGTCCACAACCAACAGCGTTTTTACAAAGTGGATTATCTAATCGAGGTGGTTCCCAATCGCCGTCCACATCATCATCCCTAAACAAGTAGACAATTTTTTTGAAGTTTATTTATTTGTTACCGATTCACAAGGAAACATTACCAATCGTCGGGTTTAACAGCGTCTGGGTCAGGAATAGTTGTAGATTCATTTTCTAACCAACCGCTTGGTATTGTTGCCCCTTCATCTACAATTTGTTTTGGTTCGGTTTCATCCCAGTCTTCGGGTTTGAACGCAGTTGAATCGGGAATTCTATAAATAGAAAAAATAGTTATAACAGTTTATTTTACATTTTCTTTCACTTTTTTCTGAATATACCGTTCTCGGTCATCCCAATCAGATGGTTTAGAATCGTTTTCATCAATAATTTCCTTCGCCGGAGTAATTGCTGGTTCCATGTCTTCCAAAAGATTTCCAGAATTTATCAATTTATTATCAATATACATTTTGAAACTATTATCAGCCGATAAAACTAAAAAGCATAAGATTTAAGAGCTTCTTGTAATCTAAAATAAACTTCAACCTTCTTACCTAATGTATAGAGATGTGATTTTTTATCTGTAAAATATGTATCAAGAGATTCGCTTGGTTTTTTCGCTTGATGTTCTGAATAGACACCAGTTTTCGGATTGCGATAACGAATAATAAAATGATACTAATATTAAAAAGAACATAACTATGTTGGACACATGACTTTCAAAACAGACTTACTTTCATTTCAACTCCACACATATCCGGTCCGAACATGATTGTATAAGGTGTTTTATCAGTAACTTGTTTCTAAAAGATCAGTAACAATCTTATACAAAGATGATGCTAAAGAATATTGACACACATACCAGATCAATTTTTCCACTATCTGACAATAATTTTACATAGGCACCTCCACATTCTTGATTTGTTTGATATTTGACTTCATATTGGACAACAAGTGGACTTGTTTGAAAATCAAATGGTTTGAATAATGGAGCTGCTATTGCATGATGTTTTGCTTTTGACTCAAATACAAAAGTGTTTCATAGAAGAGCATTCGATCGTATAAGAAAAAGTATAGCACTGTTGATGAGCACCAATCCTGACACAAGCTGTCTTTCCTAATCTAACAACAAAAGCCTAGATCTGAATTATAACGATAGTTTTTCTTTTTTATAAATTAGTGATTGCGGATTATTTTAACTCTCAAGTTCGAACAAAACTATTCCATCGTTGTGAAAAGACAAATACAATAAAGTCTTAATCAAGTATTCTCGCTTACTTTTAATATTAAACTATAATCATCTGTATAGACAGCTGTTACGGGTATTTCAAATCCCCATTCCCCATCATATTTTGCTAAAGTGTCATCGACACCATCTTTTTTTGCTTGTGATTTAACCCAACGAGACCACCTATAATTTTAAAGAAAATTGATGAGTAAAACACATTTTCCGAAATCAGATATTAGAATCTTACTTCGATTTCTCTTGAAACTGATCTTCAAAATAAATACTATTAGATGCTGATTTGATCACTGGCACATTCCCCTTCAGATAAAAATAATCACAAACATCATTTTTCTATCCATAAATAATAGACAAGTTTATGCTTACTTTTTCGATCAACGGAGCGGACGTAGCAGTTGATGCTTCTGGGATAATTTCTTCAGCACCATTGTCATTGTCGTCGTCGTCGTCATAACAAGAAATAAACGGAATGCACAACAAGAAGAACACCAAACAACCCGTTAACAAACGCATTTTCGAAATTCAATCTAGAAAATAAAAAGTAATTCACAGTAATAGCACAAATAACCTATCGGATTATCCACCCGAGACTACGTGTTATTTTATCTTTGTTTTTCGTCTAAACGACAATTAATCAAACATGAACCGGACGCTCTGCTTGAACATTTAAAAAGAAATTTATGAGCACACACATTAGAGACAACTACTTTACTGAGAAATATGTAAAAATCAATGATGGAGTCTTCGAAAGTGAATAGGGTAATCCTTCAACCAGTCACAAAAGAAACACTAATTCCTGAACGAACGAGCGATCTATTAATCCATCAGCAGCTCATATCGCCAAAATCCAACTTTTTTTTGTGTATCACGCAAAAAAAAGTGTAAAAATATAAGCGGTGTAACGAGGTCTAAAATTTTTGTATCCAAGTTGTTCTTCTTTGTGTTATTTTAATGTTTAACACAGAAATTTCTCTAAAAGGTGGCTATATAGGAATTATCGATTCTATCAATGCAATAGATCGATCGAGAAATATTGAATAATGATTTCTCTCTCCGCTGCGTTGCTCCGCTTTGATTGGACATTACATACGGAAATTCCATTGTTATAAAAAATCGATTATTGACGGGCACCATACGCTGCATAACTAACAGTTGAAACAAAATACTGCGACTAAAAAATTGAAAATTCTGTTTCTATTGAAGAACAATCCTTTATTTGTCTATTAATTATTCTTTGTAAAGTCCTTTAATATTGTAAAATGACAACCAATCAGCCAATCGCAATAAACTAGGAAGTGGACGTTTTTGACGTTTCCATACCAGATAACAACAGGATAACGCTCATCTGCAGATTCGCTTGGTCCCTTGTCTTCACCTGTACTTTATACGTTAACAATGCATTGTGCAGAGGACCATGATTTTCAAGATCGCAGATAATGTACACGCCTTCCTTCGGTCGGCGCTTGCACAGCCATCTCTCGAGTTTAGAGATGGCAGGTTTCACTATTCTCTGGCTAAACTTTGCAGAGTTCAGTGTATTCCCGTATTCTAAGAATAATGTATTCTCGTTTAACTTTACAGAGCGTCATCGTGAAAGTCTTGGATTTTATTTTTCATTTCTAAGAAAAAAGAGTCTTAAGGATCTGTCGGTGAAAAAACTATTTAATTTCCCGAAAACTGAGTGGGTTATGAGCGGTTGATTAAACAGAAGACTTTCCATATACTCTGTATACATACCAGATGCACGTTTTTTATATATGAATGTCTTGTCGTTGTCTGTTCTGCTTACTTCAAACAAAACGACAATGGTTGTGCTTATATACAGCCTCAATTAAGTCAGTAGTTGTCTTAGTCTACTATAAAAGCCATTCTACTTTTCTTGTAGTCGATATCGGCTTTTTTCGGCCTTTTCGACTAGAATTATTCAGAAAAAAATACTACAACTAATTTATAAGGTAAATACACAGCAATATCAGAGAGCGAATGAGTTGGAGAAGATAAAGTCTTTGTAGTTTTGCTTAGTCACAAAGTTCAGCTACCGCTCAACATTTCGAGGATGAAAATAGGTCGTCTCAGATAATTAGTTCCGCAAATCCAGTTACTTTCTACTTGTATAGATTGAGTTTAGCGTGATGACTGTGCAAAAATATCAGAATAGAAATGCACAAACGTTAGGAGGGAACGGAACTTAGGTAACTTTTCCTCCAAACAGAATACAGCTACCGAAGAATCACATTAAATATGGTTCCACAGTTTGAGGAGTAAAAGTAAGAAAGCTATAGATAATTGAGGGAGTAATCGTGACCCAAAACTGCTGTGTACCTAACAGGGATCGGGCCGGGTTGGGCTGGGCTAGAAAGCCTTTAAGATTGGTCGGGATTGGATCGGGCCATAAGTTTTCTTTGTTGAGTCGAGGTCTTTTCTTGGGTAGCATAACAGCAAGAGCAGTCTATTAATATCACTTTATCTTGCGTGTAGCCAGCCTTTACGTTTTCTTGGAAATGCATATTTCTAATCCATGTGTACACTGCTTGCCGAAAGGAATTGTTATTAGAGAGAGGCGACATCTTCTGAAAATTTTCTGTGACTTAACTATATTTATGTTTCTTTTTCTAATATATCTCTGAATAAACAGGTTTATCTACTCTACAAAAAAATATTTTATCGGCACTGGTTTTGCACGAATTTACACTATACGGGTGCTGAATAATTTTTTTTCTGGGCACCGGTGCCTGAAAGAATGTAAAAATCTCGCACCGGTGCCCAAGTTTTGTTCTCAGTCACCATTTTGTTTTGTCAATTTCTGTGTATATTAACACCACAGTATACTTCAAATATTTCGAATATCTTTCTAGCTATCAGCATTAAGGATGCAGAAGGCCGTGAACAATTAAAAAGGACCGGGACGAACTTTTACATGAGTCGATCAAGTTTGTTAGTCAATGTGAACATGATGAACATGACTTATTCATGTTCCCGAAGAAAAAACCAGGTGAAACACGGTGAAATCAAGGTTTTTTGTATAGCTCCAGAAAACATATCTTGAGCGGAAGAGTTTTCCTTAGGGTAATGAAAATGTGAACTAGAAAACTATGAAAGAGGTCACAAATTCTCAGGTTTGTAACAGATCCTGCTGACATCTGCCACAGCTCTGTAGAAATCTGATACAAATCTTGTCTATAATTTGCAGGGATCTGTTGCAGAACTCTGCAGATCTGCATTGCAGAAATATTCCTTTGGTGAGAAATCTTCTAAATTCCTCTGAATTAGTATTAAAAGTTCGTAAAATAATATGAATTTAAAGACGTTGCTGGAGATCCTGCTGGCTCCACTACACATTTCACATCAATCCATCTCTCTAAATATTTTGTCTCCTTCAATATATGCCAAAACAAATCTATAGAAATTCCATTGAACACATAGACACACGCAAGTATTTTATGACCTTAGGTAAAGTCAGCAGATCATACCGGTGCTGAAAACCTGTACTCCAAAAGTTTCTTCGTCTCCTGTTATGTTGTACCGCTAAAAGTTTTCTAGAAACTGCTTAGAGGCCTAAAGGCATTGAATACCACGCTTAACCATTGTTTCACAGAAACAACAGTTCAGAAGTTGGTAGAAAATCCAAAAGTTTTATAGAACTCTTAGGTTTCTAAAAGCAGTCCTAACGACCCTCCATGGTTGATTGCCTAAAATCTGGGAACACTTTTTCTCTGATTCTATTAATTTTTGCGGCAAAATACCCGCTTAGGAAAAACGTTTTTCGTTGCAGTTTATGTTATATCTTAAAGTAACGCCCTCTGTTCAGTCTATCATTAAATTAATCTTTTGGTCATTTAATTCTAGTGAACTTTATTATATAGTATTTAGTCATCATTTCTGACTTTGTGTTAGTCGTCTTAGTCGTATCGTACTGCATTAACGTATATCCTTTATTGGCTCTCTCCTTTGATTGGCTCTGCTAAGACTTTATCGGGCGATCATTTTTCCATATTTTACGTACAGACAGACAACTCTTTTATATAACCCTAGACTAAAAGCTAAGGCAATTAGACATTTATTGATTGTAATATGTATAATACGATGGCACTGATTGGTCGGTTGATTTCAGATCTGTTTTTCAATGTTGATGCTGCAGAATACTTGTGCGTTTTTATAGCACCACAGTTCCTTTTTTGAATCCCCTGAGTATAGGTCCTTTTTTTTATTTACGCACGAAACGTGAGCCTCATCAAATAAAAAGATCCCAGACCTATAATAATAATGACTTAGGCCGAACAACATAAAATGACTATAAATAGAAAACTAGAATATGAAATATAGAGAGAAATCAAACACAAAACAGGATAGTAACTATCACGATTTTTTGACATTTAAGATTTAATTCTACTATAAAAATTCATAGAATGAAGCTGTTTTCGTTGAAGTTAAAAGGACGTACATAAGTTAGAAGATTGTTCCAGACAGTCACAAATAAATTAAAACAAAGAAGCTATTTTTAATGAAAAACCGATACTACTACTAGATTATACTACAAGAAAACTGATTTTTTGTTATTATCTTTCTTTGCACAAACATTTCAAAAATTATCTAATTAAAAACGTGAGTTTTGTGAGACCAAAATAGTATTTTACAAATTTTTAGTGTTAGAAATAGTGATCGCAATAAAAAAAAAGAGAGAGGTATAACATATATGGCTAGTATATTCTGAGCCAATTAACAGAGAAGATATTGTCATTGTGAGTATCATGTCAAATACAAAATTGAGTTTTTTTGAGTACTGCAGGACATATAGTACAAGCCATTTGGTAAAGTAAAAACTTTTTTATTGGTTAGCTTATTTGGGTAAAAATTTCAGCCCCGATAGCTTTTGGTATAATTGCAATCGAAAGCAACGATCACGGAAACGTTTGATTAGATTCAGAGTTCACGCTCTAGAGCAGAGAAAATATTTAAATATTTATTGTACACACTGAGATGTCACATACAATTAATACTAGGCTAAAAATCTATTTTAGAAGTTATTGTCTATTTGTTATTCCACCTATAGAAGTTCATATCTTTATCAGAAACTGCTTAGACGAGGAAATGATATTTCAAAAGGTTCAATTTATCCTTTAAAACTTCCTATACTTCAGGTGATGTGTTTGTATACATCTTTCTATTTATTTAACTTGTTGGAATAACAATGCATATTTCATTTGCTGTTTGAGTTTAATTAGGTAACATAAAAGAAGAATAATGGTCCTCATTGAAGTAATATGTACACCGTTCAATGCAACCGTCTAATTTATCCCTAAGTCACCATTTTTCTCGTCCTTTATTATTGTTCAATATAAACTTTTCTTTCTTTCTGTTCTTCTTTTGTCACTCATATTTTGTACCGCTTATGTATGTGTGCCAAGTGTTCTTGCGTGTGTACCATGTGTATACTATACTACGCAGATATAGTCTCTCTTCTACTTCGTTTAATAATAGAAAATGTGTCTTATATAACTGTTGATTGTGAAATCTTATCCACAAAATACTTTTATATAACATAAATGCACATAACTGCGATAAAAAAAAGAACTTCACACTACCTTGCAACGAAGTAGGCAATTGTCATTCTTTGTTCTATTGTTCAAGGTAAAACAAAAGAATTCGTTCTTATAAGCTATGTTCATTTTTTTCTCACGAGTGAACGATTAAAACACGACCTCGTGTTTTTAGGGATATGCCCACCACAGCTGTTCAGATATGGAAATTTTTTTTGTCCTAATAGAATGTTCATAAAAACTCCTTATATCTAGTGAGCATCGTACTGAACAGTTGATAATTTTTCTAAAAAATGAGACACTGTTTGTCGATATAATGAGACATGGTTGTTATTATTTCATGAGACACAAATCATAACTAAAGCATGGTGAACATGATTACGTTTAGTTTATCTATTTTCTTTTTGACAAAAACAGCTAAAAAATTCTATTGTGAATGTTCAATGTAGGACATTGGATTTAACATTTGTTGAAAAGAAAAAAGACATTGTTTATATAAAATGTATAGAGTTGTTACGCTTCATTTATGCGTTTATGCTGCTTGAGACATGTCTATTTGATTATTTTTTTTTTCTCTTTCGTTTTTATATGATGTTGATCATATACCTGCAGTTCAACTTGAATGAGACGAACGGCGCTGATGTAACTGTCTATCATCAATGCATATTACAACATATCAAACGTTCATGACCTATATATTTTAAAATTCAATGGTCTATTAATAAATTTTTTAACTATGATTATCTGTTTTTTATCAAAAAATTAAATAAAAGGTATGTAGACAACGATACAATTTTTTTCATAAATTCAAATTTATATATTATAGCAAAAACAAATGTTGATTGACGTAATTGCTACAATATCAACGTTAGCAGATTCAGAGGAGAAACAAACAATAGTTGCACAACAAGTTTATTGGTACCATTTCTACTATGTCTTGATTGTGTACCGTTATTACCTGATAGTTCATTCTTTCTTTTTTAAGGACAACAAGTGTTCTTGCTGTTGTTGATTCTTCACATATTTCAACATTTATTGTCGCTTTAATTTTGATTATTTACGGTAGTTTTCGGTAAGATTTTAATTCATAACAATAACATCAATCGTAAATTATTTTGTCCTTAATTTATTCTTTAGATCACTTGAACAAGAACGTTTGAAAGATATAAATAGCAATGATAAATGTGGTCTTTTGAATTCTTCATCATCATCGAATGGATTACAATTATCTACAATTGATTCATGTAAAAAAGCAAAGAAATAAGTTTTAAAAGTTGTCTGGAAAGTCATTTGTCTGTTTCTATTTTCAGCTAGTCAGCCACATGTAATTGATACAATACATGCAATCATTTTACCATTGGGTGCATCAGCATCACTATTAATCATGTTCTTTTTTTTTGAATCAATTCAAACAATTTTTGTTGTGTGTACAGCAGGTATATAAATCGATTTAAAACTATATTACGTATTTTTATCATTTTTTTTCTTCTTGAATAGTTTTAGCAACAATGGGATTTGCTTTTCTTCTTTCACCATTTTGTCGATACCTACTTCGTTCCTGTTCAGATAATAGCAAGTACGAAAAACAATAATTTACCTAGCTTAGTAATAAATCATTATTATCATTACTATTTAGAATATCTTGTGGTGTGTGTGGACGTTATACAAGTGCAGAGATAGTATCATTTTTTCTGGGTATTCTACTCGTTGGACTGTGGATTTTGACCGGTCATTGGTTACTTATGGACGGTAAGAAGTTTTTCCTTTATCTAATACATAATTTCTTATTATTCAGTTTATTTTAGCGATTGCGATGGGTCTATGTGTCTCATTTATCGCACTCGTGCGTTTACCGAGTCTCAAAGTATCCATACTGTTATTAGTTGGTTTAGTAATCTATGATGTATTTTGGGTAAAATAAAGCGTGTGAACATTTTGACAATATCTAATTTGAAATATGTTACATTTAATATAGGTTTACTTTTCACAATATTTATTTAACGCAAATGTGATGGTGCGTGTTGCTACAAAAGAAGCAGAAAATCCTGTATGTCTTTCTATTCACTTTTTTTTGACAATCTTTTAAACACGAATTATTCTTTTGTCTTAGCTGGCAACACTTGCAAAAAAATTACATTTGAACAGAATTAGTACTCCGAAGTTATCCTTACCCGGAAAATTAGTATTTCCAAGGTAGAGAAAAGAAAGTGACATTGTGCTAAAATCACTAAGAATTTTCTACTTTATATTAGTAGCATTCAACAACGAGGACGATTTTCAATGCTTGGATTGGGCGATATAGTTATGCCGTAAGTATTTTAAGACTAATGATATAATTTATTACTTTTTACTGTATTGTACTTGTTATTTCGTATTTAGTGGACTGGTGTTATGTTTTGTTTTACGATATGACTCATACAAACGTTCACAGACAAATTTATCATACGATTTAGTTCATACACCAATATACACATCAATTTTTACTCGATTATCATATTTTCATTATTCATTACTTGGATATTGTTTAGGTAAAAATAGTTAAAGAAATATTGAAACATGTTATATTATCTGATTTACTTCTATATTTAGGATTATTAACTGCGACACTCTCATCGGAAGTGTTTAAATGCGCACAACCAGCCTTATTGTTTCTTGTACCGTTTACTTTATTGCCACTACTCATAGTCGGATATTTTAGAGTAAGTTAGATAAAAGCTTTTTTTTTGTAATAAGTGATTCTCCTATATTGCAACAATAATTTTTTAACGTTGCTCTCTTTTCTAGGGTGATTTATGTCGAATGTGGTCGGAACCGTTTACAAACAATATTACAGCTAAATACTTGAATGCATGACACTATTTACTATTTTGATTTACCGTAGATGTTAGTACTGTTTTTTGCTGTTGTAACTTTTTCTTTGTTACAGATATTTTCTTTTTCTGTTGTTTTTTTGAATGAAAAAGTCAGTTAGATTTTTGTCTGATATTAGTGGCTTAGTCTCAGGTACATCATGAATTTTTCTTTGTTTTTTATTTACGTATATATAAGTAGTAAAAAGGCTCATAGTAGTTCAGTTTTAAGAAAAAATTCTCATTGTTTTCGAAACAGTTTTCTCCTTAATGAACAATATAAGAACAGTGTATAATTTACATTCCTTTAAATTTGATCTGAATATTTCTAATTTCTGATCAATAGTAACATTATACGTTATTACTAGATTTTTAGACTTAGCATGTTTATTCATTTTTTTTTCTTTTTCTAAAGAAGATTAATAATTGCAATTTCGTATACGAATAAAACTATTGTCAAATATTTATTACTTTAGTCATACTTCCTATTTGGTTGTAGGAGTTTTTTCCAAGACCGAAACTACTGTTTTTTTTTGAAAATTGCAAGCAATTTTTTTTTATGTACTCTATTCATATTTGGTGTGTCAGTTGAATTTTTGAACTTTTTTTAGAAGTTTTGTTTGTATAAAATAAAAACTACGAATTTATTGCTCCTTGTGAGATGATTCAATTTTGTTGTGCTGTTGTCGAAGGTAGGATACATCCAATAATGAAATATCATATGTTTGACACGAAAAATTTCAATTACTATTGTGTTAATTACTACAGTCTTCCAACGAAGCTTTTGTGATAAGGTTGTAAGTCATGAGGAAAAAAAATGGCATTGAGTTATTAACATTCATGATCATTGTACCTTGCGAAGTGTTTTGCTTTATTAAAAAATTCTAAGCATGTAGCTCGTCGGAGTTAAGCAATGTTTTGCCATAATCGGTCTCATAGAATGAGTCTAGTTGTAACTATGACTGTTGTTTCTCTTCATTTTAGATGGTGTTTAGTTCGTTATTATCAACTTTGAGGTCGTTCATTTATTTATTACAATCGGTCCATTCTCGTACTACAGTTGTAGTCACCTTAGCTACGCTATTCATATGTCTAATAGTATTCACAATGGCTGGTCAAGCCGATTCCATGGCACTTCAAGCTTATTGTTCATTATGCATATTTGATTTATTATTTATTGGCACAGCACTAGTTTCATCATGGCATCTAAAAACGATAAAATCAAACAAAATTCATAATCAACAACAACAACAACAACAACAACAATCTTCAGCAACATCTCTTTTTATTCCTACTCAGACAATTTCACCATTTTCTTACGGAACTGCTCGTTTTGAGGGTAAACGTATATTTAAAAATTCTCTTTAATTTTAATAATACACTTATATTCTTCTAGTATTAGCCGTATTTACCTCTACAATGTTATCAATCTTGGGCGCATTTTTTATTTTAAAAGAATCAATTGAAAAATTTATTGAGAATGAATCCATCAGTATTAATTATCTGATGCCAGCATCGTTCATGACATTTTTCATCCATTTTGTTGTAATTTATTTTGTACCTAATCAAGCATTCGATCATGTTATCGCCGCTTCTTCATCAAGCTGGTTACAAGAACATATTAGCGATATGTGCCAAAATATTTGCCATATTATACCGGGTCTTAGTCGATTCTTATTACCACGTATCAATCCATTTACATTGCTGGGCTGGTGTGGTCTGTTTATTATGTTTATTAATTCACTTTTATTATCGTTAGATTATGGAAATTTTGTTGATACATTATCATCATTGTTGATGGCATTTATGATATTCGGTACGATGGTTCCAATGAGTAATTATAGTGGAAAAATTCTGTTACAAACTACACCTCCTCCAGTTATTGCACAATTAGATAAATGTTTACATGAAGCATCAAGATTAGATGGTGTGCTAGAATTTAGACATGAACATTTTTGGGCACTATCCTTTGGTACACTAGTCGGTTCGTTACATGTACGGTGTAGGTAAGTTTTGTTTTACTTTTTTCATATGTAAGCTATAGAAAAACACAATTAAAGTCTGAATGTTTTTTGTTTTAGACGAGACGCTAAAGAAGAGTTAGTACTTGCACATGTTTGGAATAAATTGGCAAATGTTGTACAAATTTTAACTATTCATATATTCAAAGACGACTGGTTGAGACAGCAAACACATCAGTTTTTAAAATCACAAACAATGGGTGGTGGTAATATTGGAGTAACTCAAGCATCACCCGCAATACTTACTCCAGTTATGTTAACTTCGACAACAAAACTAGAAGATCAACAACAACAGTATACTCAAGTAATTAATCCTACATATTCTAACACACGGATTCTCAACCTACCGACAAACGGACAGTGATCACGACTTTGTGCTTGCTACTTAGAATTCTCAATGTCATTTTTGAAGAAAAAATATCGAACTATATTCCGCAATATGAATGTTATAACAACAATGAAACGTTGCTAAGTGGTATAGTCATACTCAAGTTGTTCAAATTATAACTGAACATCATTTTCTTAAATGATCATCAGGTATGTATCTTTTACTTATTTATGGAATGATTCCTCAAATCATATTCTAAAATATTCCGTGTACAGCTTAGATTTTTAAAGCTTCTAGTGTACCAGTGATGACGAGAGAGTAATTTTGTATTATTCTTCTTTTCCTTTATCAAGTCAAATCAAATCAAATCAAATGCGGATAGAGCATAGATCTTTCCTCAAAAAATCTCAGTCAGACATACAAAAATTTATTTTTTGTTTTGTTTCAATGCGGTTGTTGTGACTTTTTTTGGTAAATTATTAGGTAAATTTCGATCTTTTGTTTGTGTTTTCATATTGTTTCATATCGTTTTTAGTTTACATTTACATTCATATATATGTATATTCATTTTCAATTCAGAATAAAAGATATCTCAAGAATGAAAACATGGTAAAACATGAAAAAGCTTGTTTGTCGCTATTATTAGCTCAACGTTTCGTCTATGGTACTTGTGGATCTATTGTCTGTAGACACCTTGTACTGCAGCTCATTATTTGCGCCCAAACTATAATCAGTCGTTGTACGTAAATAATTAGTTGATGTTTCAGGAAATCATCGACAATGAAACTCTAGTGCTAATTCTCCAAATTCCTCTAGAAAAGTAAAATTCTCGTGGTGAAGACCACAATATGGCTAGTCTAAATTCCTGTGCGGGAAGGAGAATTTTCGTGGAAGAGACTAAACACCTTGTGCTATTTCTCTCAAGTCCTGCAGAACAGTAAAATTCTCGTGACGCACGTCAGATGGTTAATCCAAATTCCTCTGCGAGACGGAGAATTCTTGTGAAAGAGACTAAAATCCTCGTGCTAATTCTGAAAATTCCTGCAGAAAACTAAAATTCACGTGAAGAACGTAATATGGTTAGTTTGAATTCCTGTGCGAGAAGGAGAATTCTGAAAACTCCCGTAGGTATGGGAAATGCTCGTGAAAAATCTAATATGGCTAGTCTGAACTTCTGAAGGAGAATTCTCGTGGAAGAGACCAAAATCCTCGTCCTTACTCTGAAAAGTCGTGTAGAAGAGTAAAATTCTCGTGACGAACGCAATATGGTTGCTCTGAATCCCTATGCAAGAAGAAGAATTCTCATGGAAGACACCAAAATCCAGGTGCTAATTCTGAAAGTTCCTGTAGAAAAGTAAAATTCTGGTGAACAAGTAATATTGTTAGTCTGAATTCCTGTCCGACAAGGAGAAGTCTCGTGAAAGAGACCAAGATCCTCGTGCGAATTCTGAAAAGTTTTGTAGAAAAGCAAAACTCTCGTGAAGAAAGTAATATGGTTAGTCTGAATTACTGTGCGAGAATCAGAATTCTCATGGAAGAGAGCAAAATGCTCCTAGTATTTCTCACAAGTCCTGTCGAAAAGTAAAATTCTCGTGAAGAACACAATATAGTTAATCTCAATTCTTGTGCAAGAAGTAGAATTCTCGTGGAAGAGACGAAGAGCCTCTTGCTAATTCTGAAACTTCCTGTAGAAAAGTAAAATCCTGGTCAAGGACACAATATGGCTAGTCTGAATTCCTGTGTGAGAAGGAGAATTTTCGTGGAGGAGACTAAACTCCTCGTGCTGTTTCTCTCAAGTCCTCTAAAACAGTAAAATTCTCGTGAAGAACGGAATATGGTTAATCCGAATTCCTGTGCGAAAACGAGAATTCTCGTGGAAGAGACAAAAATCCTCCTTAATTAGTTAATTCTCAAAATTCGTGCTAATTCTGAAAAGGAAAATTCTCGTGAAGAATGTAATATGCCTAGTCTGAATTCCTGTGCGAGAAGCATAGTTGTCGTGGAGGAGACAGAGAGTCTCGCGATAATTCTCTTGTTAGAGTTCCTGTAGAGGGGTAAAATTCTCGTGAAGATCATAATATGGCTAGCCTGAATTCCTGTGCGACAAGGAAAATTCTGGTGGAAGAAACCAAAACCCTCGTGCTTAGTCTGAGAATTCCTGCAGCAGAGTAAAATTCGTGTGAAGAACGCAATATGGCCTGTCCGAATTCCTGTGCGAGAAGCATAATTGGCGTGGAGGAGACTAAAAGTCTCGTGGTAAAGTAAAGTGTCGTGAAGAACGTAATATGGCTAGTCTTAAATCCTGTTTTAGAAGAAGAATTCTCGTGGTAATGCTCTAAGTTCCTGTAGAAAAGTAAGATTCTGGTGAAGAAGTAACATGGTTAGTGCAAATTCCCGTTCGAGAAGGAAAATTGTGGTGGAAGAGACAATAATTCTCGTTCTAATTCCGAAAATTCCTATAGAAAAGTAAAATTCTCGTGAAGAATGCAGTATGGCTAGTCTTAATTAATGTGCGAGAAGCAGGACTTTCATGGAAGAGACCTAAATTATGAAATTTATTATAAAAATTCATGTAGAAAAGTAAAATTCTCGTGTAGAACGTAATATGGTTAGTCTGAATATCTACGTCTATTGCAAAAGTTGTCTCAAAGGTGGCCATCAAATTGATAAATGAGTCAACTGTATGTAGATTGGTATTCCATAATTATTATCTTGTTTGTAGAGAAGAATGTTTTTCGAGATTGTTGATTAAAAAGTAGTTTGATTATAAAATTTTGAAATAGGAATAGGGTGAAGGCTAAGTGCGGACGCAGAATAGAACATTTGTTTATTTAGTGAGAGAAAAAAATTGGTTAAAGATGAACAAAAAGGAAATTAATTTAAAAATAAAGAAATAAATATAGTAAGTTTAACGGATAAAAGCACAATAAACGTAAAATATATCAAAATTCGAAAAACAACAACAACAACACAAAATGACAAAAAATAAGCACATATTTGTTCATATTAGGTGTGAGAAAAATATCACCGATATTCAGAAAGAAACTGGCGGTTGATTATTTTATGTAATCGTATTATTAGTTTAAACGGCGGTGAAAGAACTATAAAGAAGTACCGAGATCACATTGAACAGTTTTATCGTATAACGGGTGGCCTAGAAAGAATGACACACTTTTGGACCTTATTCCCGTGTACTTAAACTGAGGTGTTAAGACTCCATTTTAGGCTCATTCGATAGAGAATTTTCTGCTCTATAAAATCCATTACCTTCTTTATTACATATTATTTTATTATTTAAAAAGATTGTGTAGATTAAGGACACGTAAAAAGTATAACTGCGATTTACAATTAAAGTTTCGATGGCTTTTATGTAATTTTTCGAGAAATAATATGGTATCTGAGAAAAGAGTGTCGTATAAAAATGTTCAGCGGATTGAGGACTATCATCCAGACTACGCTGCTTTTCTGTTTGGTCACTCAAATTGTAAATATTTTAGTCCACAAGTTAATTAGTACTTTCTGACAACATGAGATTTTGAAAAAAGCAGGGAAAGAACTAATCAAATGACGCTGTGTAAGTGTGCAATACAGAGGTTTTGTAGAGCAGAAAATCTTTTATTTTCTGAAGTCAGAACGAATTCTTGGAACTATATGGTATACAGACAAAAATAGGTACATCAATAACCTCATAATCTTGGGACCATCTGTTGTTAGCTGTTGAATGTTAGAAAAAAATATTATTTTTCAATGGGAATTAATTAAATCAAGACGATCTCTCTACTCATAGTATCTGTGACAATTAGCTTACAGAAACAGTATTCAATAATCAATTACGTCGAATACAAAAAAAGATACAAGCTGTTCCATTCGTCACAGTAATAGTTTTTACGTGTCCTTAATCTACACAATCTTTTTAAATAATAAAATAATATGTAATGAAAGAAGGTAATGGATTTTATAGAGCAGAAAATTCTCTATCGAATGAGCCTAAAATGGAGTCTTAACACCTCAGTTTAAGTACACGGAAATAAGATGCAAAAGTGTGTCATTCTTTCTGGGTCACCCGTTAGTCAATTCTATCTTTCTATTTTATGTAAATAGTTGACGTTAGTAAATTCCTTCATTAATTTAAACCGACGTTGTTACTCCCGAAGTATATATATTTCTCCCACTTTCGGGCCATTTTGAGGCGAAGCTGTTTCTATTAGAAAGAAAATAGAGAGATACAGAACGGGTGTTCCGATCGGAATAACGGCCAAGAGGCACGTTTAAGGGCCCCTCCCCCCCTCTCAAAAATCAAACTTCGACATAGTGCATCGGATTTTGATGAAACCTTCTACAGATGTTTGATTCATGGAAGTACACTCATAAAAAAATTTCACGCCTTTAAACCTTACCGTTTAGGAGATTTGTAGAAAACAGGGGACAAAATAGGGCTCTTCCTATGTCGACTATCGCGATAAAGTCGCAGCGCGAACACGTAACGCGATTGCTTATAGACTCGCGAAATTTCTCACTAATTTCGCGACCGCTATAAAGTCGCGATGGAACACGATTTTTCCTATATAGTCGCTACATTCGCGACGTGACTCCTTCATTTTCTTCTTTTAGTGGGCGCGATGCTTTGTTCTCGCGATGTCGCGAAGCGACTCCTATCTTTTTTGATAAAAAAAGCGCGACTTTTCACTGAAGGCAGTCAATAATATTCTCGACTGTCGCGGCGCGATCGCGGTTCATTCGCTATTGGCGTTTGATCCAGTTATAACAACAAAAGGATTCACAATGCGTGATACTTTAGTAGGTTTGCTCTTAGGTAACGGAAAATGGGATTAATTTGTATAATGATCGTTTAAAACTTCGCTGTTTTCCCAAATTTATCGTTCGTTCAGCCGATATACAGGCTGCGTATTGTAATAACTGTCAATTGGCCCTATCCTTGGCGGAACGAAAGATAAATTTGGGAAAACAGCGAAGTTTTAAACGATCATTATACGAATTAATCCCGTTTTTCTTTTTTTCTCGACTTTTCTTCGAGAACATGATGCGATCACTTTTTGAAGTTTATATCGATCCTACGATCCCTTCAGTACTTTGGGGTAAGTAACTGGGTAAGTAACTTTATTTTATTCTTGTCAAACTCTAAAAGAATAGTTTTCTTTTTTTTAATTTTTATCAAAATATTTAAAACTATTTTAGCTATCGGAGGATTTGATGACGATGGTAACGGTATGTTGAGCATTGAAAGTTATGATGTTAAAAACGATCAATGGACAATATTAACGAATATACCGGGTGCAATATCAAAAACGTGGCCACAGAGTTTAGGCACAGTTGGACGACGTATCTATATTTCTGTGTTTCAATTTTCTATTCTTTTTTATCTTGATTTTTGAGAATTGCATCAATTGTCTCAAACTCATAAAAAATTTGCGCATTAATATCAGAGTTATTTGATAGAGAGAGATCATAATGCATGTTTACTTAGATACTATGAACTCTATTAAAGAAAATTATATATTCTTTTGTTATGATATTTCAATTGCCTATGTAGCTATATGTCTTCTGTTTATTCAAATTCTCTTCATACTAGTATTTTAAAAATAAAATCCTATAAATCAACCTGCTGTATTTTAGTTTTCGATTAGAAATCATTGATTCTAGTTATCTTTAGAATCAAAAGTCAAAAGGATAAGATTGTTCATCTTCTAAATGTATTCATAAATAAAGCAAAGAGAGAAAATAAAGAACTATAAAAACCAAAAAGTTAAATAATACTACGTTCAAGTATTTGATTCAGATTGTGTATTTGCTTGATTTTTACGAGAATGAAATGGTGATGTGAAAAATGTTCCTTTTAATTGTTCAGATGATGGTAATGGGTCTTTTCTCACATATTTGATGGCAACTATTAATATAATGCCCACTATCAAACCAACAAGAATACCGCCAATAACAGCTCCAGTTTGTGATCCTTTTGTATATTTAACGGTTTTCTTTCGATTTAGTCTTGAATGTAACGATATGTATTGTTTTGAATCAGCCATAGAATTTGGTACTGCTTTTACTGTTATCTTATTGGTATCAGTAAATAGAAAAAAAAGGTCAAATGTAAAGTTATTAGCATTGATAGCCGTTTCTAATTTTGTACGAGCTTCTTGAACATTTAATTCCTCTGGACTGTTTAGTAAAGGAGTTTTATCCAATAGTGTAAACAAAGCATATACAGTATCATCTTGTTGATCATAATCAACTTCTAGATTTGATATACGTAATGGTTGAATATTCATGACTCTTGCTGCCTCCCGATGTAAACCGAGTATTAATGCGTGTCGATGCAAATGAAAATTTTCATTTGAATTCATTTTCAAATTAAATGCTAAACGTAAATAATCTAAATCATTTGAACGATAACACAATGATACATCAAATTCATTTTGATGAATATCGTCATTTAATTCATAAAAATCATATAGAACGTCTTCCGTTTCAAATCCTAATCCTTCATTGTGTGTTCGACGATATAATTTTAAATATAAATGGACCGGATAATCAAACAATGTTTCTGAACATGGTGGATTTGGACAATTTATTGATGCACTGTGATTTCGCTGTGACCATGCCCACTCAACATTCATTGCATCCCATGTCTCCTCAGTAGCGGGTATTTCCGGAAAATTATCGAGTGATGTTGTCACAATGACACATTCAATTTGTGAACCACGACATGGACGTAAACCATTGAATTGATACACTTTCTTTGTTGGTTGATTCTCCATTAACAAATGTTCATATTTAATAAAAAATTCAATTGGATTTGTAACGATGTCTAATGCTTTAAAATCAATGTCCTTTTCAATTTTACACGAACCTAATTGACGATCAATAACATATTTCATGTTCTTAGAATAATCCAATATGATTGATTCAAAATCATCACCCAATGGTTTATAATCATAACGTATCATTTTTCCTCCATCACGATTTCGTTCAATACGTAGGTGAAATGTTTGCCATTGTACTTGTTTTGACGTTGTGACATCAATTCTTACACTAAATTGTTCTGGCCATACAATACCTTGATCTTCTAGAGAGAATAAATTATCTTCACCAAGTCTAGCACAAAATACACCGGGTGGCGGTGAAAAAGCGTCAACACGTTGAATAATACCCGGTTTGTACGAAAGAACATTGATTATTTCCTCAACTTCTCGTACATGCGTTGTAGTATTTGTCATTATCGATGCAGTGATAATAGCTTGAACAGGAATCGATGTGGTTACAGTTCCAGCTGGCATAGGATAATTTGGCTTAGCAAAGGCCCATTCACGTTTAGCTGTTCGATATGTCGATTTGTCCACAATACAGGTTTCCCATTTGTCTACGCGGATTCCACGAATAGTGTCTTCACCAATATATTTTGGATGAATAGTAACTTCTGTCGGATTATTATTACTGAACAATAAAAATTGTTCTAACGGCCTAATATGTGGTTTACCATCAATATTAATCGCTGATGTACCGTCTGTTAGACGATACATTTCAATATTGGTTACATTACACCATTGACGAGCGTAGTAAGATGATTTTTTAAGAATATTGTAATAATAGAATTCTACATCAATTATATTATTTGAGTTTTTAATCATTACATGTGTATTTGCGTCATAATCGTAAAAATATTCCAACATCATGTGTTGAATTGTATCTAAATTAGGAGCGTCAATGTGGGCTTTTGTAACAAGTTCAATAGCAAATTCAGCTTTTTTTGGAAATGTTGGATATATAACGCCAGCTGGTATTTGACTTGGATTTGAATCGGGTGTACAAATTGATGGATCACCGTTCCACTCATCTTGACCCTTGACAACAACAAACGTAAAATATAATATCAGTAAGATGTTAACAGAATTCATTGTATTTTCGTATCATAAATACGCACGAATATGAAACGTATTACACCCACTTTGGATAATGTATGAAAAATGATAAGACTTCTTGAGTATGTTTTGGCTAACTATTATTATATAATAATAGTAATAATTATTTTTGTCGCTTATTTGAAACAAAAACTATTGTTTACGTACTTTTTTCGAATAATTTTCTTTACGAAAGATAATTTCAAGGTAGGAAATTAAGGTGAAGTAGTGAAGAATAAAGAACAGAAAAAGAACTGATAAGAGATAGATATGTTATGCTTGTTCGCTTTATCTAGCAGTTGATTATTTATTTTAAGACGCAAGAATTTTTCCCACCCAGAGAACCTTTTTACCCACCTAATAAGATTTGAATTTTCTACAATGCATGAAATTTTTTTACTTCTTTCGTATCCATTCAGAACTTTAGCTCGTTCGCCTGAGGAAGACAATCTGGATTAGTCACTACTACATACACAGAACATGTCTACATAGCTAATATGTTCTTACTAAATTGACCACTTCTATTTTTTTTTAAACTGACAGTCGTTCATTTTTATCAAATAATCCGTAACTATTATTTCTACAAACAATTATTGCACAAATCAGATTATCTTTGTCTTGTTGTTGTTATCAGATTATCGTTGTATCTGATATTAAATAATGATTCTTATTTCATTTTTTCAGTTCTAATTAAATATTGTCAACAACATTATTGGACATTTATGGAAAAAAACATTTATGGAAAAAATCCTCGAAAAAGTAAAAAGTAACAAAACTCTTACATTTGACAGCTTTGTATGTAAAACACGATAATGGAACGAAACACAGATGCAGCATATAAACTTATTGTATGTCAATGGCTTTGTTCTTGTAGTTTGACTTTTTAAGTCGACTGAGTGGAACGCAAAGAGACTAGAAAAATTCCCCAACATGTCATTATAAAAATGGCAATGAAAAGGTTTTTCAGGCTGTTTGATTCGAAACCAATTCATCATATAGTAAAATGAATACGAAAATCTCAAGTTTGTATGTTCAAACTTGAATTAAGATGTGATATTGATAGATCAAGTAACGGACTTTGGATCAAAATATAAAGCGTACACAGGATTTTGCTTCAAGTTTTTCGAATTCTAATAAAATCCTAGCAAATTCCACGGCTTGCGGATGGATACTTCTGAAAATATCTAAGATCATGGAAGAAAGTTCTAATGTTAGGATCCTAGTAGGAAACGGATAGGACGTGCGTAGGTTTTTGTCTACGGATAGACTTGTAAGTAGAACTCAAGTCTTTCTGCATCGATATTGTCTCTATTTTACGGCTGTTTTAGTATCAACTTGTCAACATCTAAATGATATCAGAAACTGATAAATAAATTTCACAACATTTTCATCATCATACCCTTTCGTCATCGAGTAACGTAGAACTTTCGTCACATGGTGAAAGTTCAGTTTTTCAGTGACAAAAGTTCTTTCGGCATGTGACGAAAGTTTATCTATGTTTAAATAGTGGTTACGAAAGTTAACCCCTTTTGTGATGAAAGTTCGTTTCGATTATGGCGAAAGTGTCTGGTTTTTTAGACAGATAGCACAGCACTTTCACACGTTGCATGAAACGGCTGCGATGAAATCAAGGTTGTAGTGCAAAGTTCATTAGCCCAAAGTGCAGTAGTGCAAACTGGAGTGATCCAAACTGTAGTAATGCAAACTGTAGCAGTGCAAACTGGAGTAATAACTTCTTGCTTTTTCCTTTACAAACATTGCATTTTCTTAACGAAACGAGTAAAAAACCCTTTTGAAGTCTTTCTCTAAAGTCAAAGTATCAAAATCAAACGTCTGTTGCGTTTGGGAGTAGTGCGGTCCGAAGTAGTATACACTGCAGCAGTCCAAACTGAATTTTAGCCCAAATGCAAGCAGTTCTGTTACAGTCAATAAGAATAGTATGTAAACGTGAGAAAAAGGACAAAATAAAGCGTGGTTGTGCACATAAACTTTCGTCACACCTTATAACGCATTATTTGCCGTTATCTTATTAGTGTGACGAAAGTTCGTTTTGGATTGTAACGATAGTTGTAGGTATGTTACACAGTTGGTTACGAATGTTTACCACTTTTGTAATCAAAGTGTGGGATGGTACTCCCCCAAAAATGTCATACCCGTTCGTCACATGTGATGAAAGTTCTTTTTTCTATGTGACAAAAATTAACGTGACGAAATTGCTATCACACATAAATAGCACCATATTTTTCTGATCCTTGTGTTTGCGTAACACCTTGTTCCTCTCGGTCTATCTTTGTTAATTATCTATGAAGTTCTAAATCAGTAAATACATGTGGGTTTAAGAGATCAGTAACAAAATGACATAGCTACGGTGCTTTTGAGTTTTTTGAAAATAACAGCGAGACTAACAGTTCAATTGGAAGTTTCAAGGAAAACGTAAAAACTTTAAACGTTTAATCGATAACTTTGATGTTATCAATACAGATGGCTAACCATTTTATTTCATTTATTTATTTCATCTTTCCTTTTTCTAATCTTTCTTGTCCACTTTTTCTTTTTAATAAAAATTCAGGATATATTTTAATATTTGTACTCTTTTTATTTTGGTTCGACATCTTTTATTAAATAGTAAATGCAAATGAGTATGATAGTTTACTACATGTGATCAGTTGATAAATCTTGTTTTTCTAAAACTTGATATTTTGTGTCCCCTACGTTTATAAATATCATCATATTTCAAACATAGTTCATGAATATTCTGTATTATTCTACCTTTTTTCTAAATAATTTTGTTATTTCTGTTGAATTATACAAGTGTCTAAGGAGTGAAAATTGTACAACAAAATAAAAAAATGGCAATGGTAAAAAGTGGAATATTTAAATGATGGTGTATGTGTGTAATAAATAACTTTTGAGAATATTCATGCACAAGCGGAATTTTAACAAGAAGAACAAAAACTCAATAAATAATGGAAATGACATTATTGTTGTACATTTTTTTAAGCATGGAATTATTCTAATTGGTTATTTTCGATTTATGGAAATTTTTCTTATAAATTCTGAATTAAACCTTATGTAATAGTTCCGGGCGGCCATAATGATAGTCGCGGATGTTTGAATTTTGGTTGATCATTATTATAATCAGTGTTAGCAGCACGTATCCCATTTGTTATGGCTGTCGTATATGTTGGACTATTTGACGTTGTATATAAAATTGGCGTTTTCGGCTCATGTTTGATATTGATCATTCGTGGAGTCGTGACGGTAGTAGGATTGGAATAAGAATTTGTCACATTCAATTGTTGAGCGATGCCATTATTCATCTGCTGTACAGTATTTGTACTATTTGTAAGCATTATTGCGGGAGTTGTTGTTGGTTCTCTATTAATGAGGCTAAAAAAGGTATAAAGTTATGCAGTTATCTATTAGTGAGGACACTAGATTAATTCTAAAATACCTTATTGGTAATTGAGCAATATTTGATTGTTGATTTAGATTTGTTATATATGCCAAAAAATTTGATGTTAATTGAGATGCTAGAGTGGATATATCTATAGCGGACACAGTCATCTCTGGTGAAACTAAAAAAAAAAGATTATAGATTAAATGAAATATGGCTAATAAAAATTCTCTCACCAGACATTACTGTTCCTGTATTTGCTTGAGATTGGTTTATTACATTATTCACAACAATTGGTTGTCGATTAACCTAAACATAAAAACTGCATATGCTATTTATAGTTGAGAAAGTTGCATTTCAAATCTTACATTGGTGGCTAAAGATTGATTAATTGTTGATGGTAGTGGTTTATTAAACATACTTAAACCATTTACGTTTGGTATTTGAAATGCATTATTCGATTCCATTGTATTCATATTATTATTGTTTACTGTCACATTACAACTTCCTAAAATGACACACTATTATATGTAAAAGTGAAACAAGATGTTTTATTTCTTGTACCTAATTCCTGTTGAAGTGATGTTAGAAGTTGAAATTGAGATGATGTTCCCATAGTATTCAGAAAATTTTGCTCATTGCTCAATGGTTGAGCAAAAGTTAAATTGCTGTTGACTAACAACTAAAATGTTAGAAGAAAACGAAACTAAATCTTTATTAAAAGTTAAATAATTTTAAATATACACTGTTCACTGTGTCTGCAAATGCTTGCTCCAAATCTTGTGTCACGTCGGTATTATGTTCAATTTTTTGTAGTTGATCACAAATAACTGGTGTCATTGTACAATTCGATTCACTTTCTAGTTCATCTTCACTATCAATATTTTTAGAATGTTGTTTTCTGTGCAGTATCTTAAGAAAGAGAAAAATTTCTTGTCTACTATGATAATAGAAAAGAGAGATTTATTAAAAATATATAACAAATTTTATCCATTACTACTCTATACTTACATCAACAATTTCTGTATTCGTGCATGATTCATGCGGTTCATTATATTCGGCATATCGTAATAAAACTTTGTCCATATCAGAACTCGCATATTGAAACAGTCGATCATTACTGTTAAATACAATCAAAGCAATTTCACATCCACAAAGTACTGATAATTCGTAAGCTTTCTTCATTAAACCAAATTTCCGTTTTGTAAATGTAACTTGACGAGTACGTTCATCAGCAATTCGTTGTATTTGAATTTTTTTCCTACCCATTTTACTATTGTTGTTTTTTGTTGTTGAGGTATTATTATTTACTTTTTTATTACGGAATGCATTGGTACTAAAGTTTAGAAGAAGTATTAGGATCTGATACTACTAGTTGTTTTAAATATTGAATTAATCACCTGTTGCCGTTTAGCATTTTATGATTTAAACAGTGCCATATAGTCGTAAAAGTTCAATGCCTGAAAATAGATAAATGACAACCTTTGTACATTGTTCGAATCAAACAGAGTTGAAAGAAAATGAACGACTTGCTGTCGAATTAGTTTGGACGCAAAAAGATTAAAAATACGATTCAGTGAGAATTAAAATACATAAAACTAATATGTAGTTAGTATCTATTAGCAAAACCGAGCGAATCCATCAGATTAAAAAATTATTTTCTCACAACAAGATCTACGTAATGGAACCGACTAACTTAGATTAGAACTATACAGCAGCGTAATCTAAAATAGTCGAAGACTCTATTTGTTTTTCGGAGGTATATCCTCCATAACATTTGACTGTGCTCTTCTTCGATCGTATAGAAGTTTTAATAGCATGATGATTGTTTGACATTATTGAAATTTTACATAAAAAAACGTTTCATTAAAGATTGTCTATAAGGTTTTATCACATATAACAGCTACAGTTAAAAAATCTTATTCCCAAGTAGCTTCAGTTTGGACTTTTAAGTATACAGATCAAGCATGGTTACATTTGTAGGTGCTAACAACTTATATATATCATTTTATCAATCAATATAAAGATAAATTTTCAGAAATGCATAAATAGCAGAGGTATCACTTATTGATTACAAAGACTAATTATTTTAGTTAAATTTTATTTTTATTAAATAAATAGTTATGTGAAAATTCTATCATACAATGATAAATAATAGATTAAAAGATTTATAAGATATAGATATTATATGAAAAAGATTTTTTTCTATTCTGAAACATAATAGTTGTTTAGATATGATTATAGATTGAAAGTTTTATTTTCTATGTAACAAAACAGATTAAGTATGATCCACATGCGTACATACACATATAGCATGATATATTTTTTATATCAAACAAGTGTAAGACAACAGAGAGAGAAATGTTTAATTTATTACTACAATAGGTAGAACGTATATCTAGGAGAAAATTTGATTTATTTTCCTGAATTTACTTATACTATCTATTTGATTACTAAGACCAAAGTTCGAAGGATATGATCGCTAAAAACGGCGGTATTTGTTAACATAAATAGAACAAAAAAATTGTATATTTGCTTACTAGAATAGAATCACTGCCACATTCGAAGATGCTCCAAATACGTCTACACACAAACAGCTAAATCTGTTTCTTTACCAAAAAAAGACCATAGAGATATATATAGTTGTTTAGTTGAAAATAGTATTTTTCTCTTCTGTTTTTCTCTTTCTCTCTCTCTCTAGATCGTACATATTCTATCTTTAAGATAATTCCACAACATAAATTGTAGGCGGATGTGTGCGCAATATTTTCTCTCTTCCATATACTTCACGTACTAACTATATACATATTGTCTATTACCAGTTGGCTTTTTTTTTCAAACAATTTACAATAGAGATGGTATACAGATGATTATTCTCCCATTTATTTGTTCTTTTTATTATCATCAACATCTCGTATTCGGGGTTATTCAAAAAAGAAAATATCATCATCATTAAATAATGTATGCTATGATGGAAAATCTGCGGTTATCAATCAAACAACTTTTAGAATGTAACATTTCGCATAAATAAAAAAAACAATAGATACAAACAACAGTCGAACCATACGTCTATTTTCTTTCTTTTGTACATACCATGTTATACAAGAGTATGGCAACTTACTGCAGAGATTAAAACGGTTTGATGCGTTTAGTAAATGCATTTCTATATACATAGGAAATATATGTAATATTCATATAATGCATCAATAAACGAAAATTAGTTCGACGCAATATACACACTAATATATTGATAGCTGTTTTTAAATAATTAACTATCAATCGTTATCAATAATAAGCTCGTTAATCAAAAGTATATAATGTGTATATGATTAAAGATCCAGCGTACCATTCAAATTCAACTGTAGGATTCAAAATTTTATGATGAAATTGAATACGAATTCAGTAACATCGATCAAATATCAGAAACTCGACGTCAACAATTCGATTCTAATCCGAAATATAAATGCAGTATTATTTTTATGAAATTTTCTGGAAATAGACAAGTGATTTGGGCGAAGTGGGTAGTGAGTCGAACATGGTGCTAGAAATGGAAATTGTTCAGTTTTCTGTTCGAGAGATTATTGTAGTCAGCATCAAAAACTGCATCGGATGAAACAAAAACTAAGTATCCTAGTCAACAAATTTCGCCTGGGTTCTACCTCAACCTTTTTTTATCAAATACTAAAAGTTGTTTAAATAACTGCTTAACTGGAAAAATGTCTATTACATTGTGATTTTTCTGAGAAGCTCTTGCTGAATAAAAACAGTATCTGTTTATGTTACGAAAAAGGACTAATTTAAGGGTTTCTTGATGATCATGACCTGTTTTACTCAAAAGTGCTCAATTGATGTTAACATTTTTCGTTGAAAGTCTTATGGTAGTAGACCATAATATATCTAGGAATATTCTCATGAACAATGGCTTTTCAGTCATATGGCAAAACCCCATGGGTTTAAAAAAAAGCAGTAAATCATGAGAATTCACTAAAAATGATTGGAAATACTTCCGTCCTGGTCTCTGTCGTATTACATGATGCAAAACTCGGAAAGATTTAATTATATATCCATTCGATAGTGCTACTAGAAATATATAAAACTTCCCTAATCGCGCTCTGAAAAAGTAATTCCGAACAGTTTTTCCACAAGTTATTAATTTATGCGGGTTTGACAAGCATTGAAATAACCATCTCCAGTGCGCAAAATAATTTCAGTCATGAGTGTCGTCAGTTGTGAGTAAAATTATGCATTTTGAAGTCGCCCCAGCCAATTCAAAATAATTTAAAACCCTACAAAATTCGTGTTCAGTCTGAATAAGAAATTACTAGATAGATAAGTAGACACATTAACATTAAAAAATGAATGAAAGCATATGATGTTTAACATGTCGAACTGTTTGTCCATTGGAAGTAGTAACGATATAGATGACGGTGTTAGAACCTGGCCAACTGTAAGGAAGATATTGGATCGCTGGCACTTGTCAGTATAACACGAACGTATTTTTCCATGTTCCATCTAACGATGAATTGGTTCTGATGTTGATCAGAATCACTCCGTTATCCTTCGAATCACCAGCAGCCATTTTATTCAAGATAGGATAGGTTGGGGTAAGTATTGCCCGATACCAAGGTTTTCTTATCATTTTTCCAACGGCTAAATCAGTTTCAGTCGAAGCCTGAAAAATGGTATGTGCAAAGAAATACATACAACTGTTAGATATGCACTGCTGTAAAAATTGTCTAAAAACTCATTGCCGTTCGATAGTGTGAATGTAGCTTGCAAATAATTTAGTTACTTAGAGACTGTATATACATTCTCTATTTCTAACGTATAAAATATACCAAATAAAAAGTACATTTGAAGAATAAATAATAGTAAAAAACAAAACTATACAGAAAAACGATATATATACACGAAAAAATGGATCGAACTTGGCCCAGAGAAAACATCAATGCTATCTCAAAAATATTCTGACTACTACAGTGGTACAAAAACAGAAAAAAAAATCGTTTTTTCATGTTTTTTGAATTTGTCGTTTTTCAAATGTATCATCGAATACTTTGACAAAATGACATTGTTTCGAACCACATTGTGTACATTCATATTCTTGACTATATGCACTAAAATATTGTAAACCGTCTTTAATTTGGATAATTATATGACCGCACGATGAACATTGCAAACGTTGTTGACAACACGGAAAAGCGGCAAATAGATCGTAATAATACATAGTACCGATAATCAATGGATCAAAATTAAATTTTGTTTTACATGAACGGCATACAGCTAGTACAGTTCGCATCGACAGACAATCCAAACATATTGAATGTAAATATAATTGCCGATCATTATGATATACGCCAACAGATACTTTTGGATTTTCACTATGTTTTACAGGACTAGAAAATAATCATATATGTATATATGCATGTTAAATCAAAATCTTGATAAAAGAGAAATTAGACATACCTTAAAAATAATGTACCATCAACTAATGGATATCGATCATAAACAATCATTGGCTGATGACATACGATACAATTTAGTTCTGTACAACCCACGATACTTAACTGTGATAGTACAAAACAACGCGTTTCATCATTACCATATGGACCTTCATCTTCTAATCGTATATGAATAGCATTTCGTTTATGCAATGGTAGGCGATTTAAAATAGACCAGTCTTGACGATGTTCAAAAATATTGCTGAAAGATAAAACAAAGCATGATTTATATTCTTCAAGCTCTTTCTCAAAAAGAAATTACACACCCCGCAGCAGCATGTTTTTCATCAAATTGTGGTAATGTACCGTTGTTACCACCGCCACTTGTATTGCCGATTGCCGATGCGTTTGATGTTGACAATGAGAGAGTGTTGGTGTTGCTGTTCGAACTATTGTTACTCGTCGATTTTTTACTGTAAGAACCGTTAACATTGCCACCAGGTGATCCGAGTGATGAACTTAAACTTCCTGTCGATTGAGTACGGTAACGTGATGAACGACCGGTTCGTGGAACATTTAATGGCTGGGATAATTCATGCTTTTTATCAGAATCAGACATTTTTTATCTAAATCAATAAGAGAAGAATTCATGGTGGAATTGAAAGTTAGCGAAGTGTTTAGAAAAAATAAGAATCATCAGAAAAATGTAGTGTCAAACGTGAAGACCTAGAAATATTCCATCTTTGAAACTCAATTTACCCAGAAATAGATCGTCGGTCTCTTGCCGGCAATCTTCGGTGTCCCAAAAATATTAGTTATGAGTGTCATTAACTTAAGCCGCAACTTATCAAGCTAGATAATAAATAGATTGATCAATCCCAGAGATCTCGTTATCAACTATAATCCGCTTCTTTCTCCCATTTACATACACAGCTGCTATTTAATAATCTATTTTGATATGTTTGACTTCTGCTGTTCGTTTACTGGTAGCTTTTCTTATATTTCTTTAATATATCGAGATCACACAATGTTCATAAAAGTAATTCTGCTTATGTCGATGATTGTTTTCAGCATTGGAGGTTACCGATTTTTCATTCGCTTAAAAATAATGTCAAATATTTTATCTCCTTGTTTTAGACCTGCTATCAGTTGTTCCATCGTTATTGATACTTAATTTAATCAACGAAAATTTCATGAACGTTTTACGAAGAAATAAATTCTGTTGAGTAATTCAACATGAATTACGTATTTTGCTTCGAAAAATCTTAATTGTAGAGTCTCGTCATTGAAGAACATATATATAAAATACTTTCATTAAGTTCGTTTGTAGAATCGTTGTCCAGAGTGTTATTTTTTGCATCGCTCACTAGCATCGTTAAATTAAGATCCAATAAAGCCAAACGATCATGCGCGTCAAGCTTTCTCCAATAACATTTTCTTTTGTTACTCTGTGACAGCAGCTACCTGGACTAAAACAGTGTCCATTAACACTCAAACATTTGATAAAAGTCAGTGGCAATCACAGACCTGTAATATTTTCCTTTATGCATTTATTCAGTTCACAGGTCTCCCGTTCACAGTCTTTTTTGGGATATCATTGGCTAACTGTTAGTAATCTTGGTGACTATTTCTGAAGAGCAACAATAACTAGATTTTATTGGAAAGTGCAGGACGTACTCTACATTTTGCTTTTATCAGATTTAATTTGTTGATATCGATGAGTAAAGAAACACTTACTATTTGTTCAACGATGAGACAGACGTTCACTCAATATTTCATATTCCGTCGTACGTAGTTTATTTCCCCCAAGGCGTCGATTGATGAACATATTATTTCTCTCTATATATATTTTGTAATTCTTAAGTAAATATGATAGAATTTGTTTTTTTTAAGTTAGCGTTTCTAATGAGATTTGGCAACAATATGTGCTGCTACATTCCGTTTATTTCGCGAATAAACGTTCTGTTTGTTTTTTAGCACTATGTTTATCGGATGCAAATACGTGTTTCGCTTGCTCCGTGTCATATTTGAATGTGAGAGATGTTAAAAATGTTTTGACGAAACAGTGAAATGGAACGGAAAAAACGTATATCTGTGAACTTCTAAGAATACAAGCAAAGGTATAGCACTGCAAAACAGTAATTCCAGCGCAGCGTGATAATTTGATTCCTACAGATATCAACTGTATTAAGCTCAGATTATGCTCACTACAAAAGCTCTTCACATTCTCAAAAATCGCGTATGTAGGTAGTGCAGGTAGACAAGAAACAAGCTTTTTCCCTTCGTTAAATGGAGGAATTTATTCGCGAATGGCTTGCAGAACGTCATGTTCATGATGTTTAGACCTCTTTCTAAACCACTCATATTTCTTGAAAAGTTTCTTAACAACAATAGCATAACGTTTTATTTAATGGCGGTGGTTTTATTAAAGACAGTGGGCCAAACCAAGGCATCCATACATTTCTGTCTATGAACACTACAATCCCCGCAAAATTTTAAAATTTCACGTTGATAGTAGAGATTTGTGGATAAAATTGATGGCTGCTTGGTTTGACTAAGGCAGTGCTATTCAACATTCATGTAAAATGGTAGATCAAATTTCTCTATTTGTCATCTGTTTTAGACGGCGCTGTGCACAATGAATTGAGCGTTCGAAATATTTTCTACTACCCTTATTTTTAAAGGCTGCATCATATCTTTATTATTCATATGGATAATCTAAAATAATATTGATTGTGAAAAGCGTTATACAATGTATCTGATTGGTCGTCTTTATTTTGGAACGTCTCATTGATAAATTTCAGACTTTAACGGGGTATACCTACGTATTTTCGTTCCCACGAAAACGTAAGAAAACGCGTTTTTTTGGCCGTTTAAAGTCTGGAAATGTGCAGAAGGAAAATAAGCGTTTTTATCTTATCATTGGGTTACAAAGCAACATTAGATATCATTTCCCAAACCTGGATCTTATTAGCAAATCTTGACAAGCGTGTAGTAATGGCGAGCTAAATTACTTTTGGTGTTTAATTGGAAAAAAAGTCGCATTGTTCATTTCACTACCGATCATAACAAAAAGAGAATTACATTCTTCGACTGATGGTTGAATAAAATTGCAAAATTTTATGTTAGCACATTTTCATGCTTAAGTATAATTAATGTTAGAAAATGTCTGACTCCATATTGAATTTTTATATCTAATTATTCATCATCGTCAAAACGACGTTTACCAATGTCGTTCACACCTCTAATCATTCCATTAACGACATCAGTCATCGATGGTGCTTTAATGTTGGGTTTCAATTGACTCAAATCATCAATGCCTCCATTACCAATTTCATAATTCACAAAATCGTCCCATTTACGTAATTCCGGACAATAACGATCTGGATTGTTTGGACGATTGCGATTCCATGGTAGACTTGGTTCGCATCTCTCCTCACTTTGGATATTAAAAAATACGAAATAATTTTTGGTCTCAAATAGAAGCGGCACCGTTCCAAAGTCTTTGTACTTACTAATCTTCCAGCGCTTCACGTTTCTGTTCTTCACATTTGGTCCTATCTGGATGAAAGAGAGTTCGTTTTAAGAATTGTACTGCATTTTGACGATCTATAATAAGACACAGAGAATATGCACGTATAAATCAGTTATCTCTATGAAAAAAGTGAAGCTTTTGTTTATCAATTAGAATAAAAAGTATCAGTATTCGACGATCATCTCTTTTGTTTTGCAGTCTTACATATTCTTTCGTACAAAGAAGTGAATAACAATGGATCGGTTTTTCCATCTAATTGAATCTTGTCTATATTTCTTATTTAGTTAATAAATACGATTTATAAAATTAAAAAATTTTTAAATCAAAATAATATATATACAGCAAATCTTAACAATAAAAATAACAGTGTGTAACGTTTTGCATGATGGATATATATTTATATGTTTTTATTTATTGTCTTCACTTCTTATCCAAGACGTTGATATTGAACGAATTATTTTCCCATTCCATTTCCTATTTCATAATTTTTAAATGCGTCCCATGTTTTTATATCCGGACCTGAATAGAGATCAGGTAAAGTACTATATTGTACCATTATTTATCTCTCTCTCTATTCACTTACAGTAACGAGAACCAGTTATTTTATTAAAACTTGGTTCACACCTTTCTTCATATTTTTCTGATGCTTCACGTTTTTGTTCTTCACATTTTGTTTTGCCGGGATGGAAGAGTGCTCGTTTCAAAAATGCAACCGCTTCTTCTCGGTCTAAAGATATCACCGATAGAAAAATAAAGTTCATGTAGAGTTGCGGAAAAGTGTTTTTTCGTATTCAGCACACTCAATAACGCAGAAGCTTTTCTGTTTTTGACGAGGGGTACTGTCAAAGGTTTATTGAAGCTAGTATTATTTACCCATGGAAATATTTTTTTGCGATTTTGTTCGAAAAGTTTCCTAAACTTTTGATATGATATGTGATTTTTGCATCATCAAAAGTAAAGGATTATAATATTATGGTAATTAGCAATAGTCTGGTATAGGAAATTGAATAAAACAAAGATAATTATTACGAGGTCACATCACATTCCATATTTTCTCTCGCTACTGTACCATGTATCTGTCTCTATCACACGTGTTTCTACTCTATGACATCTACTGTGTCGTCTGATTCATCACAGAGTATACAGGGTTTAGTTAGTACGGCGATGGGTGACCGCGTCTGAAGCCCAAGGTTATAAGCTGTATGGGTTAAGCAGTAGGGGTAGGACACAGTATAGCAGTGTACAGGATGAGGAATCGAACACCTCAAGTTTACTGTTGGATAATTTAGTTCAGAAGTAAAATTGATGCTTTAAAATTCATAGTTTTAGTGTTCGATTTCAACAACTGTGTGGTGTTGTTTTGTGCTTCGGTGTCCTTTTGTTCCATTCTAGTCTCTCTCCATTTGTCAATAATTGATCAATCTAACAACAAAAAGTAAAGCTTTTTTCATGCAGAATGTCCGGAATTGGGTAACAAACGCAGAAGTGGAACTTCAACATTTTTTTCTACTCATGAAAAATAATGTAGATCATACGATTATCTGATAACATAACATTGGTTCCATTTGGTTAGTGCCAAAAATAAATTTAAGAAAAACTTCGAGACATTTTCACCTAAGTATTATTACACTTGATACCCCTGATCTGGCTTTGTTAAACGTAGCTAATTGTAAAAAGAGTTTACCCATTTAAAGAGAAAAAAGATCTAGCTACATTAAGTTATTATAAATAAGCATAGTATCATTGCGCAAAAATAGTAGAACAAAGTCTTCAAACAACGATTGATATTTACCAACATAAGCTAAGGTTTGTTTACAGCATATAAATTTATCTTACCAAAATCGAAATCATCAGTATTTGGTCGAGCCGATAATGATGAAAATGATAGAATAATAATGAAAGCAAAAAGTAAACAAATTTTCATTTTTTTTTTTCTCTAAAAATAAGTTCGATCAAGTAGGATAATATGTCTGTAGAAGAAATGGAACTGTAGTAAAGTACAACGAAACTGACAATACCCTATATTATAGGCAGGGGAAAAAAGAAGCTATCATCATTATTTAAATATTGCCCATAGTTATCATCATCAACAAAACTTTTTGTGTTACGTACGATGTTACGTGATAAAAACTAATACATATCTGTTTACAGTCATCAACAGAGAAATGAGAAAAATACATATAATTTATTAGAATATATGGTTCACTAGAACAGTTATACTATGATACTGTTTCCTTTTACTAAAAAGCACCTAAAGTTAAATTTTAATTGTTTATATAAACTGCTAAATATTTCTGCAACTAACTATTATATAAGTGGAATGTTTCGATTAAAAAAATTTTATGCCGATGTTTTTAGGTGATTGTTGATCGTAGAAAATGAATGAATGATTATACTGTTGATTCATAAGTGTTACGAAAAAAAATTAGTTTCCTCTCATCATCCTGCTTTCTAAAGCGATATTACGTTTTTCTTCTGTCGTATATTCAAAAAGTCAAAATGGAAATAGGATACATCTCTTTTAGAATTCTTTTGGATGATTCATGAGCATCATTAGTAAAATTTGACACCCATAAGCAAAATAATTTAATAGGCAATACTTATATGCTATTTGGTTTAATTAACGATTTACATTTACGTTTAAACAGATTTTTCATATAACATCTCAAGATGGAAGCGTCGAAACTGAGATTCAATAAAATGCTATCTTTTTCTTTCAAAACAGTGGATTTAAAAATTATCTAATATTTTTTCGTATAATTTTAACACATATTTGCCAATTTTAGAAAGTTTAACAGTCTTTTTACCATTTTCTTTAATTAACAAAAACTTCTTTTATTCTCAGTAATATGAATACTAGACGATAAAATAGTAACGGGTGGGTCTTAAAGGATGGGTCTTATTATTTATCTCATAACTTTTTTCCTTTAACGATGGAAACTTCATCTTTTTCTGTTAACTTGCCCAGTGATCTCTCTACAAAATGGTAGATCGAAAGTCAGGCAAAGATCAAAGGTCTGATTTTGCCCGAAGAGAAACAATAGCCGTCTAAAAGCCTTTACGTTCTAAAAGTTTTACGAGGAACTTTTTATCCCAGCAAAAAACCGCGATAATGGTTGTCTAACCTGGCGCTTCGATAGTTTTCGGTACTGTCAAGTGTGCTCTTTTCAATGCAACCACAATCAAAGCACTGTCACCCACTTTCGAGAGCAAAATCTTTAATTTATCGATTTAGATAGAAATCATCCAATTTTTTTATATGAGACCACCGGTCGTTTTTAAAAAGAGATTTAACCAATTCTTTTTTTCTAATTCTGGTAGAGAAATCATTCTACTACAAAATGACAGGTTATATTTTAGACTACTTTAGAATTTTCCAGATTGATTGGTTGAATTTTCATTAAAAAAAAACCCTGTTTTGGTTAGAAAGTGGAGGCTTCTATACAAGTTTTGTTCCTCCTCAGGTAAAATCAGACCTTTGGTCTTTGCCTGACTTTCGATCTACCATGTTGTAGAGCGTTTCACTGGGTAATTCAACAGAATGAAGTCTCCATCGTTAAAGGAAAAAAGTTGTGAGACAAATATTATATACCCATTCTTTATGGCTCACTCGTTAAGACTGGTGTTTTCTTTACGGAATAGACCTCTAACAGTTCGCAGTTTCCATTCTTTCAACAATTACAAATTTTCAGTTTTAAATTTCAGTTTTTCACTTTTCAATCCTAAACTAGAAATCGTTTAACAGTTCATGTTACTAATTGAACGAGGAACGGTTCATCCGTTCTAGTTTTTTTGAATGAGAACATCAGTTGAACGAGGAACTATTCGATATGCCGAAGCTGTGTTTCGGTTGATCTAATAGCCTTCTATCTTCTTTATAATGTAAGTGAACTATACGGTCCAAGATGCTTCATTTGATGTTATCCTATTTACATATTTGTTTCGAAATAAAACTGCAAACGTCAATGACGAAGCCTTATGAAAGAAATCGATAGTTCTAGTAAATGTGTTTAGCAATCGTTTGAAGAGCAGGCTACATCAAAGATCATGATAGAGTACATAAGAAAAAAAATTAAATTAGTCTAAAAGAAAGCATTATCAAATTTGTTCTAATGCCCGTGCATTTAGTGTAGAAAAACAGCTTTTTTTCTATTATAAAACTTTTCGTATACAGATCTAGCATGTCTGGTGTTTTTTTGGAATGCTTACGCCCACCGCTAACCAAAAGTCGAAACCTATTCTCTTTAAGCGAGCCTTGTGTACAGTCTCTTCATTAAGACTTTAATGCTCGCCAAATGTTAGCATCAATCAAGATGCACCCCATCGAGAAAGGTTGTTATGTAGCGTAATTATTTTACTATTTCACTGCATAGACAGTCATGTTTTTTCTTTTTATCTTAACTTGAAATCTGGAATATCATGTTTTTAATAACACATAATGCTATCATTTACAAGTTTTGATTTGTAGCATAAGTTCAGGCTAGGTTGTGCAGAAGGCAGATACTATGCATCCCGGATATTATGTCACTTAATTAAAACTTAATCTGTGGAAGCTGTAGTCGCATGATGTTTGACATGTAATGATTTTTTTTCTTTTTCTTTACTAAACGTGCACACTTAAGTCATGCCGTTATTGTTGATCTTTTGGCAATGAATTCGAAGATGAAAATGTAGGCATGGATGTTAGTGACAGTTGCGGCTTTATGGCTTACTAATGAGAACAAATTATTATCTGACGATTGAACATGTTCATCGACATTTGGATTATGAGATTTTTCCGTTTGTAAATTTGGGTAACAGTCCCATGTCTTTCAGAAAGTTTATATCTGCACAAGATCTGTCAAGTTATTCTGAACAAATCTCGACAAGATCTCGATTAAGTTTGTTTCGTAAAAAATCTGCATACAAAAATCTTGATTCAAATCTTAAGCAGATTTGTTTGTTTTTCGGAGTCAGTTTTGGGCTAAGCAAGGAAGTACTTTAAGTTGCAAATCGCTTTTTCGATGAAACTAAGGGAGGTATGCGTAATCGATGGTGCTGATTTCGAATATGATGGTCACAGCTGCCCTTAGCTCCTCGAAGACCGGATTTGAAGTGAAAAAGCAGAATACCGAGGAAAGTTCTATTTCAACTATTAATACTCCTCAGATCGTTTGTGATTAAGTTATTTTCTTCATGTGCACCCTATCTATTCTTACAATATGCTTTTTCACTTCAAATTTCTTCACCTCCTCTCATTTCCTCAGCTACAACAGATTTTTTTCAAAATGTTCAATACTCGATCAAGAAATGATCGATGATATAAAAAAAATTTTCACATCGCTAATTCGACATGCTCTATAATCTGGACGAATCAAAAATGAATTCTACTAAAAGAAATTTTTGACTCTGGACAACCATTTTTCTGAAAATTCGGTCTTTGAGGAGCTAAGAGCAGCTGTGACCATCATATTCGAAATCAGCTACTCATACCTCCCTTAGTTTCATCGAAAAAGCGATTTGCAACTTGGGGTACTTCTCTCGTTAGATTGGAGTTGCGGTTTTTGTTGGCATTTATTAAACGTGAGGTAAACGGTAGTATAAAACAATTTATTGTGATTTACTCTGTCCTTGTTATAAGCCGATTTTAGTTGTTTCTGTTCTAACATGCATTTGAATTCCAAAGTTTGTATATCTAGAGAATACACATTTTTATAGGTTTGAATCACTCAGGTGAACGCGAACGGAAAAACAGTTCCCGTTATCAAGAATCTGTAATACAAGGAACTATGAGCTGTCACAGACCTACTCTAGCTAAAAGCGATGTCACATACATTCTTGACGTTCTTAGGAAGTTCTCACCTGTTATAACATTTATCGCTATTTGTATAATCTTATAGTAATATTTTGAAATCACATACTTTTTTCTTCTTTTAGAGTCATAGAGCATTCAAAGGAATTTTCATGCCACCCAATGCTGATGTTAAAAATGGAACGTTTAATGTAGAGCATGAAAATCGCTTAGTGAAAAAACAAGAAATGGATGCTGATATAGCCAGCAGAAAGCACAAAGATTTCAGTATAAAAAAACAAATTAACACAAATAGAACTCACATAAGTAACACAGCTTGTGAAAGCTCAAACAGTCACATGAATACGGCTGATCATACTGCGGCAACATTAATAGGGACTAATATTAATGTAGAATCTCATAATATGCAAAATCAAATGAACACAGATAATCATAATACAACAACCATAATAGGTAACAACATGAATCATCTTGATTCATACACTGAGGTTGAGCCGATTATTAAGACAACGTTTCAAAGATTTTGTGGAGTTTCTGGAAAACCGCTCTAGGAAGGCCTAGCAACCCGTCTCATATACACCCCTGGAAAAAATAAGTTTTCCGACAATAAATACTATACAACAAACCGACAACAACATATCACAACAAATCATCAGAGTTGTTCAGCATTATGATGGCGGAAAACGTTCTGCGATAGAATCGTTACGAATTCGGTGCTACCGGCCGTAATGCAGAGACATTAACAAAGAAGAAACAACAATCTCTGTTAGATGCTGATCATGTGTACAGCGATAGACCGCTGACAAAATTCATGAGTACAATAATAAAAAGTATACAACTATTAAGGATTCTGCAAATGTCGTCAATTTACGAATACACGATTATTAATGGAGATAAAATGAGTATTGCCGCTATGAATATTAGGAATAACGATCAACGTAATAAAATTAATAATAATATTAATCAATATTCATGCGTTGGTGATAATAATGCAGCGCGCTCAAGAACAAACATGCATGTGCAACAAGTCGACACGTTTGAGTCGTGCGTTTTCTCCTCGTCCTCGTAACCGCATAAACAAATTTCGCGTCCCATAGATCTGCTGTTATAAGGAAACAAAATTTCACATTCAATATCGAAAGTTCGTAGATCACTATTGTTAGAAGCAATACAACATTGCGGATCATTACAGTGCTAATTATACACAGCATAGTACTTTAAACATATTCACGAAATAATATGATTATCATCAAAACATCTTATGTGTAAGACTTCCCGACCGTGCATTTTTTCATGTTGCCACTCGCAAATGTGCAAAGTCCTCGACTGTCCCTGTTGCCATCTTGCCACTCGCCGTCATCTCTGCTCCCACTCGCAAATGTGTAAATTCCTCGATCGTGCTGTTTCCCATCTTGCTATTCCCCAGTATAATGCTCACCGTTAGGCCTCACTGTACTCGAGTCGTGGAAGAATCGATGAATACATAAGTTTTCAATTAGATATAACAGTAACAAAAAGCGAACCACCTCAGGTTACACTCATGTGCAACACCACTCCATATATGAATGATTTTCCCTACACTATCAGAGATATCGAGAAGATTTCATTATGAAACTCTGAGTCGTGCACATAGTTTGCATATAAATTTTACGTCCAATACCGATGAGCCTCGTGGAACACTAATTGTTAGAAGCGATACCACTAGGCCTGTGACAGTTCATAGTTTCTTGTACTGCAGTTTCTCGATAACGGGAACTGTTTTTCAGTTGCCGTTCAATAAACGGGAACGGTTTTTCAGATTCCGTTCTGAACTAGGAACGATTCAGCAGTTCACGTTTCTAGAAACGAGGAACGGTTCAGCAGTTCACGTTTCTAGGAACTAGGAACTGTTCACCAGTTCTGGTTTCGCGAACGGGAACTACAGTTCTTTTTGAACTGGAAACTGCTCAGTGTCCTTCACTGATCAATTAATGTCGAAATAATAAAATTTGAATTTGAATTATTTTTGTGTAAAACTTAACTAACGAGTAAGCAGGGCTGGCCCAAAGTAGCCAATATTGGCGAGGGGGCGAAATTTTTTTCAGACCAGACATAATCTTCATTTTTCTATCAGAGTACAAAATGCAATAATTTTTTGCGACCTTTTTAAAAAATCTGACTTTCTTTGCAAATTTTTGAGAAAAAAATGCTTCGTGTGTAATTTGAGTAAACTTCTGCCTATTTTGTCGCTGAGGGTGGCCACGCTGGAGCCGAGCTCTAGATAATATAGCGCTGCAGAAGCTAAAAAAGCAGCAAATTCGTGATTAAAACATTATGAGGTATTACTTTTTATGTAAGACTGTAGAAGAATCGTTCACAGTAGGTTTAAGTAAGAAAACGAACAACTAGCAGAAAAAGAAAAACAGATATTTATATAGTGTAGTGAAATTTTCTTTACCTTCCAGTTTATAAAAAGAAAGATACAGGCGCACATGACTTTTCTACATAACTATAGAACCAGGACATAATGCAGATGGTCTATTGATCTTTCATGCCGATATTCTTTACTCTTTATTTTTGTTTTTATTTTCTGGTCTTTGCAACCAATGTTTATGACACATGCGTAAGAAAATGGCGAAACAAAAAATAAGAAAAAGAAAAGTACTGGACGTTCTAAGATTTGAATACTAAGTAAAATAGTTAGAGAGAGAATATGGAAAATGCTACACTGGTAGCAGACAAAAAATATTACATCACATCAGGAACTGAACTTCTCCAACATGCTTTCTTGAACTTAAGTAGTATATCAAGATCTTAAGAAGTAACGAACTAAATTCAATCAGCAAAGTCTACCACCTAATCTGAGAGTCTCTTTGAGCATATCTCATCCCAGCGCTCACTCTTTCAAAATCTTATGCTTGCGAAGTGAAATACATAATATATCAACAAATCACAAAAGGACACTGAGCAGTTTCCAGTTCAAAAAGAACTGTAGTTCCCGTTCGCAAAATCAGAACTGGTGAACAGTTCCTAGTTCCTAGAAACGTGAACTGCTGAACCGTTCCTAGTTTAGAACGGCAACTGAAAAACCGTTCCCGTTTATCGAACGGCAACTGAAAAACAGTTCCCGTTCAAAGAACGAAAATCGCCTACTGTCACAGGCCTATTGACGATTTGAAATAGCTTTAACTTTTTTCAAAATTTTCACTAATTCGCTTAGCTCTTCATGTATTTTCTTAGCTGGATCTGGTTTAGATCTAACAATCTCATACGTATTGGTGCTTAGTTTTGCTTTAATCTTCGTCTTATATTCTTCTACGTCTAACGCTACAACTTTTCCTCCCTTATCCGCGCCTACTACTATAATCTCGTTATCACTCTTTAAATTTTTAAGCGTACTGAGTTGTTTTTGGTTTAAATTTTTATTTCTATTGTTTTTAATTGCAGTTGGTAAGTGGTTATCAATCGTCTTACTAACTTCTCTTATAATTAATTCTTTTTGTATGGTATTTGTGTTATACAATGCAGACTGTATCGTAGCAATTACGTGAGCAACATATTTTGATTCATCTAGTTTCGTTGTTGGTATGAAGTTTAGTCCTAAATTTAACATCTCTTTTTCATTAATAGTTAATCGTCTCCTTGTCAAATCCACCACTTTGTCATAATTTATTGTTTGTTTATTTGAAAGTTCAAGTTGTTGGTTTCGTTTCTTTTCATTCATCAACATTAAGAACTTTTTGAATAATCTCTTTTTTACTTGATCTCTAAATAACGGTATTCTATTCTGAAATTGATAACACCACTCTGGTAATAATTGAGGTTGAAGGTTGTTCAGTATTTCTAACTTTTCTTGTACTTTTCTAATTTGTCTTTCAGTAACAGCTAATGTCCCATAGTTAACTTTTATCGTGTTATTCATTAATTTTCTACTGGCTTGATCGCATATCTCTTTACATTGATTATTCGTAAATCTTGTTGATTTTAATCTAAATCCTTCTGGTATTAGACTGCTCCGTTTGCATTTCTTCATAAATCTTATCTGTTCGTAAATATTTGTTTGCTTGAATAACCATTGTTTTTTTGCTTTAAACAGATTTATACGTAAGGATAACGTGGAGTTCATTGCTTGCGTTTTTTATACTGTTTATTGTTATTTTATACCTATATCTCGTTATCAGGTTTTGTTTATTTACATATTTTAACCGTTATTTTGCTGTTATTTGTCTTAAAAATGATACTAAGTGTATCGAAACGTCGACAGTAATAAAATAAATTGTTATA